GATGCTGAAGTGCAATGCGTAGCGTGAAGCGTTCGGTTCAAACAGTGACTTCGCTGAATGTTCTGTTCTGAGTCTGGTAGTTTGATTCGGTGGTAATGGTGATCTTTGGGCAACTGTCGATGGTAGTATTGCAGTATGCGACAGTGTAATCACCATCTTCGAATCACAAACGAGGCAAAGTCGAGTCTCCCCATTAGGAACTGGGCCTGTCTGAGGGACTAACCGCCACGTGTAGTCGCCTTGTGCTGAAGTGCCATGCGTAGCGTAAGGCACTTCGGTTCCGACAGGGACTTACCCCTGACTTCCCGGCACTTCCCGGCACCTCGTGACCGTGTTGGTCACGATGCACCAGGCAACGCCGAGGAAGCTCAGAACCGGCACACACTGCTCGAAGTTGAGAGACCACCCTAAAAGAGCTGCTATTGTGGTAGCGCAGTTGTTATGTTGGTCTAGGCAGCGAAGTTTTTGAGTACCGATGGCAGTCCAAAGAGACACGTTAGTTGCATTGGGTAGGTTGTTGTATGCCAGTCTCAAGAACCTGTGAACCAGATGTTGTTCGGCGATACTCAAATGAAAATACTTTTGGCTCGGATATTTTTTCGTAAACCATTCGTTTTGTATGAGAATGTTCGGAATACGAAAATTATTGATCAGTCGAAAAGGTTTTATTTTGACAAATCAGTGTCGTTTTAAATGAAATTGTCGGGCTTTAACATTAGAAGAGGAAATGATACAAAACAGGGTGTTTTTTGTAATCTCTAGTATATTAATTTGAGCATTGCAAACGATATTTAAAGATGGCTTAAAATCCCACGCATAAATTATATAATTTTTATACCATCACATACCTACATAGTTTAGATACCAAATTATATAGTTAAACACTTGTATTATGGAAATCTGAAACAGCGAAGGTAACAACACCCAGACCAGAGACAATATAGAAAAGCTCATTATCTGCATTAACATGACCGAGAGTGGAATGCGGGAGCTCAGAAATGGTGACACCTTGGAACTGGTGAGCCACTCGCCCAAGATCCGACATATGCAATCTGGAACATCCTGATTGTTCCATAAACTTACAGATCGCATTAGATAGCCCCTTCTAATGTGTCATGTCATGCATTGTATTTATTTCTAAAGTTTAATGAACTGGTCTCATTACCATTTAAATATTGGTGTGTACTTCTGGTAATCTACCTTGAATCAACTTGCAGTTGCAACCATTTTATGCACCCCCTTGTTTTTTGGGTGCAATATACTATTATCAAAGAAGAACTTGTTCGTTCTTTCTATCAGCCAAAAGACGTCCTGAACGAGTGGTGGGGAAAAATTTTGAACGATTCAAAAGAGAAGTCTATTTGAATAAATATTATTTTGACTTTGACTTTGAACTCTGAATTTGGCAAAAAATTCTGTAAAGGCACCTCAGAAACTTCTCCACGGCTCTGAACACATCAGTGCGTCTACCACTTAATATTTGGAAAATATAATCATTGTTGAATGTTGATTAGATTTTATCAAAAAGCTCTTTAGCATTAAGGTCTTTAGCAATAGATCAATCTACAATTTGTTGTAAACTAGTTCTAAACTAATTGATTCATACTTTAATTCTGTTAAGGTATTTGTTAATGCTGTAGACTGAACCATTTCTATAAAATATAACTATAATGACTTCTATTCTCGCAAATAAAGATCTTATCTTAAATCATCAATTGTTGTAGCAGAAACAAATCGCCTCAACTTATAATTTAATTTGAGCATGTTTCATCTAATTTGGTTTCACCAAAGACTGGGTCTTTAACGTTATTAAGAAAAAAAAATCCTATTTGAACTTGTGTTGATTGTTTTACTATAGTAGGTACATAAAGAAAATTATCACCAGTCGTAACCGCTGCAAGTAGGAACTGTTCAGGACCGTGGGGTCGTAGGGAACGTGATGGTGGCTGTAGTTGCCATAATTGCGGTCCTGGTATGGATACTATGTGCTATTTTGTTATGGAAAAATGCACAGGTGGATTAAGTTTTCCAGTTTTTATCATGCATTATCAAAATATACCACTGGTTGGGTAACAAATCAAATGCAAATCACTTACAGTTTTTCTCGCCTCTGTACCTTACTTGCTCTCTCAGAGCTGGAATCCGACGACACTGTTCGATGAGCTCGAAGACAATAAATACGCCTGCTTCAATGCTGTTTTCTTTGTTTATTTCGCTGTCCCGTTGCTCCATCGCGAAGGGAGGTTAATTTTATATTCATTTCATTTTAATTTTAACACTAAACTATATAATAATAAGTATAATTTGTGCACATTTTATGTAGGACCGATGTTTTCGCCACGAAAAACGACGCTATAATGAAGGTAAGCGTTCGTGCCTAAAAGTCATTGGTTCGCTACCCGCAAACTAGATGGCAGCACAGGCAACGGAAGTAAGAGGGGAGGTAGTGTTTTGGACCGGAAACGTCACAAAAAGGATGATGCTTGACTCAAGATGGATTCCGGATATCGAACGGAACAAATAATAGTCGATATAAGCGCTTTCTCTAATCAATCTTCTAGCTTAATTGTTATGTATGGCTTTATTTTATTGCAAATAATACATTATAGAATGCATGTTAGTCTACATTTTAAATATAATTTGTGGCTACGTTTGTCATTTTGATTGACATGCAGCCATTACATGACATGTAGACATACGTGTATTAAATTTGTCATTAGTTAAATCATTACCAATACAAATTTACAAATTAAGAACATTCTTTAGAGCTTCAAGTCGTCATAAAACATTTAATGGATATATATGTTTCATTGTTTGCGGCTTAGTAAGCAGTAACATAAATCATATATTAATAGGTGTTGTGACTGATATAGTATCATTTCGTATTTGGACAGTGTTATACATAAATGATCCAACTAACTTTCTAAATAAATATGTAATATATGCCTTAATTGTCAATAAAAAAAAAATCTATTCAAATTTTAAGCAATTAAAAAACTTTGATTTAGATTTAGTCAGTATACGTTTACACCAAAACCTTTCTAATTAATTACCCCGTTCATTGATTAGAACTACATGTAAAATGAAAATGTCCGATAACGTGTAGATTAATAATTGTCGGTTTTGCCATGAATAAACCAGGAAACCCGGTTCTAATTTATTAATCTACGAACTATTTACCTTATAAACTCTGTCACAATCTAATAACAATGTGATTGTATTGATATATGTCTCTAATTATTAATTAACAAATTATTAGTAACATAGTGCGTCGATATGTATGTTCATACTTAGTGCACACATTGTAATATATGTGATGATATTCGGTAAAGGAAATGAAGATATCCGGAGTTAAGATATAGACAGAGATAGATAGATATTAGGTGAATACGCATAGTTGTTATGATATTCGTTGAATTATCACTGTAGGATACTACGCCGGCATATTTTCAGTACTAATATAAAAAAACTAATTACTGAAAAGTACGAATCTGAAAAAGATACTGGATTTTATTTATATATTTTAAATGACTTGATTATTTTTTGCGTTAAACTTGTAACACTTATCCAATTGAACCTCGTGCAACATGTTCGATAAAGTGGACATATCTTTTATATCTTTACAATAATAATACGATAATGCGTATGTCAATATTATCAACCGAACATAACACTAATATTACAATTTAATGTCGTTAGACAAATTGTCAAGTTATTATTATGTATTAATATCATGATATATTATTAGCTATTATTGTGTAATATAAAATATAAATAAATTGATATAAGACAACATCATAAACACTGCTCTGATTCCAAGATAATTATCTAAAGCCTCAGTAATATAGAGTATCTGAGATGTCTTGTCAAAAAAAATGTCTTGTCAATTACAAATATATATACCATATTTTCAAGACATGTTTTAACATTTTATGTAGAGTTTTTAAGCAATTTCTTCTGATCAACCATTTTGGGTAATTATGTAGTTAGAAATCAGAAACACGACGAATATTTCCGTCAACTTTGCAAGGTCGAATGTTATATCATACTAACTGTTTACCGCGACTTCGCCCGTGTAAATTAAAGCCTATGTCATCCGCGTATGATGTTGCTTTCCGTAGATTAAAGAATTTATAAAATTGGCCCAGTGTTTCAGAGCCTATTCGATGCAAACAAATAATGAAATCGTACCTCTTTATAATATTAGTATAGACAATTTGTCAATGCTGACGTTTTACGTTCGAGACGCGACACATTTTCCAACAGAATAGGCCCTTATAACTAGATTCGAGAATGAATAGAAAACAACACAGCTACACAAGTCTCCGAATAGTATATGCGTTGTTTATTTTAACTATATCATAATATCGTCTTGACTTATAAATATTCTTGCTGTTTACTACGCAAATCGTCTAGCGGTAACCTTCATTCATTCAACTAATATTTATTCATAGTGTAATAATTGTATTTATTTACCTGCTGGAGTGTTTGTGACAGAAACTTTAACGTCACGATTTTATAAGTTTTGATTTTCACTAGATGGCGGCAGATAGTTTTTGTTTTTGATTGACTTCAAAAAAGTTTTGTCGATAAGGTTTACAGTTGTACCACTCTTAAAAATTTCATTTTAATTTATGTTTGTTTTAACTTTACTACGTAGTTAGAGTAATCAAAGAAACATAAATGTATATTCTTGTATAGATTTACGTCTGCTATCTTGGTAATCTACAGAATTGAAAAGACAGGATTACAACTATATTTAATTTGTGCAACAAAATTGCCACGACTTATATCTCACCAAAATTATTTTATTTTTAATTAAGTTGTTACATGTAATAAAATTCCTTTTTTCGATTTTGTTTAAAATTGAGAATGTTTGAGATGTTCATGTCTTAGTCCAATGAATACCATTTTCTCAAAAATAAGTGATTATTGTTTAGGCGCCTCTTGAGTGATGATGATTATCTGGATATCTTGATGATGCTAGTTTACTGTAACAGATCCGCAGTCACCAGCGCACGCCGTCAGGTTCTCGGGACTTCAAGGAGGCGACGAAGAGAGACGCCCTCGCTCGACTCGAGGTGGAACTAGAACGGCTGCTAGCTACCCTTCCTGAGACCAGAAAACCTCTAGTCACAAAAGAGTTTAAGGGATTTAAGAACCTCTTTAGTAGATTTTTAGCAGAGCGTGAGTTAATTTATTAATTTTATCATATAGAAGTTACTATTAATTTAATTTAATTTTTATTTTCACGATACTTTATTGATATTTATTTTATAGCAAAATATTTAAATATTATAATAATTCCCGTTTTTATCAACTGTTATTTTAAAATATTTCTTTCGCCTGCATGTGGAATTTTATCAACGGTTAAGTAATCTTACATTATTTGAGTAGCGAAAGTTAAAAGTGACAACAAGTAACAAACATAAGATATTAGACATAAATCACCCATAGATTTACTTACCACATACTTATTCTGTGGTCTTAGCAGATAGTTCTATTGGCTAGGGCAAGAGTCTGCTTCCGGCATTTTCTATACACAGTTGTGGCACTCAAGTAACATTCACAAAAAATATTTAACTGTCGAAAACCCTTCGAATCATGTAATCAATCTATAGTTAAGTACTTATACTCTTATACGATTGAGATATACTGGCTATGGCCGAGAGACAGAAATTCAAAATCGCATATTATTATTAAAAAAAAAATAACATATAGAAGTTTAAATAATATTAAAGCGAAATCTTTCGGTGGTTTTGTAAAAACAGTAAATTTTTTTTAAATTGTAGATTAGGCTCTTTAATACTTCATATGGTTGCAGACCCATGGTTTGCAGTGACACGGTTTTTTAGTTTTCTATATTAAGATAAAAGTTACCAAAAAGTTAAAAAAAGAACTATTTAAAATGTTACTAAGTCAATTTCAACATTTAATTCAAAAAGTATCCTATACAGATAAAATTGACTATATGCTGGTGTTATTCGGAAACAAGTCGAATACTTCCTTAAAAGTATTAAATAATGAGTATGGTCATTCAAATATGTCGATGTTTATATGCTAATGATGAGGCCAATGATTTCTGATTAATATTGAGTCTTACTTTGAAAGGAAGTTTCGTATAACTTCGATATTTTATTAATGAAAAATGCTTAAAAAACTTATCAGCCCCAGGTACTCTGAGATGGGACCCGAAACGACCTATTACAATCCGGGCGACTGCTCTAACCACTGAGCTACCCAGTACCCAACAGGACTGATGAATTTTTCAAGAACATGTTACTTTTCGCTGCTATTGAGCGTATTTTCTGCAACGTTTAGGCAATCCACCAAAATAGCCGAAAGAAATATTTTTTACAAATATTTTAAACTTACGATTCAGTTGAAATTCGTTGTAATTATTACATTTTATAAATTTTGCATTCACAAAGCTTTACTAGAAAATATTCTTAAAGAAAAATTCTTAAAAAATCCTCCAGCCCGCTCCACCAGCATTCATCATTATTGCATTCTGAATGCAAAATTGATAAAATGTAATAATACAAGATTTTATTAATTAAACTTCATTTTTTTCGTGGAATGAACAGGGATAATTCTTGTTACTTCTGCTCTACTCTTTGCTCCAGTTGTTCTAGTAATTGGAGCAGAGTAGCGTAGGAGTAACTACAGGTAAAGTCAACTTTATGAAATAATTATCATCACTATGAAAAAATTTACGACTATTGTAAAAAATAAATTTAAAAATATACTGATTTCGTAATAAAAGATAATACCAAACCATTTTTTTTTTCACCTTACTTTGTCGTTATTTTTTTGTCACAATTTTCATGAAGCAAAAACTTTAATTGCCGTCATACATAAAATATATAGGTATTTGAGTTAAAAAAAACATACTAAAATGTTTTGCCGCTCGCTTTTCTTTTGTACAAACCTACTGAATTGATTTTAACGTAAGTAAAATAAAATAAAAATAGCTTATCATATCTTATGAAATAACTTAAATATCAGTTAGTAATCCTTTGGATTCAACTATTTAATGCGATTATAAACTCGGCGATTAATATATTACACATTACAATTTAATGATGTATATAGTTTTGGACTGAATAACAAATATTTTGCATTGTAGAATGTAGCAAAGATAATTTGTTACCAAACCATTTACGATCCTATAGTAAATTAAATATTATAGCATGTAAGCACCATAAAATGTTTAATTTCCGAAATCTATCCCAAGCAAAGTCAAACTTAGTGACAACAGAGTAAGATTTAAAATCGATTGGATAAAAAAAAACACGAAATTTCTATAGACTGACGTGTTAACCACACTAAAGCAATTAGCTTTAATATCAATATCAAGTAGACCTCAATATTGAGATTCGTCTTTCCTTTCCAGAGGGTCCGTCGGTAACATGGGAAAAGATAGAGAAGCTTCCAGAGGGCGCTGTGATCGATTACACGACCCTCACAACTCCAACCACAGATAACATCCATCATATGCTCGACAAACTGGTCGTGGTGAAACTGAACGGTGGCTTAGGAACATCTATGGGTTGCAAAGGTCCCAAATCTGTCATACAAGTTAGGAACGAGCTAACATTTTTGGATTTGACCGTACAACAGATCGAGGTAATTGTTAGAGTACTGGTTACAATGATTTTTGATTTACCTCACAATTTTAAGTTTATTAATTCTCGCCTGGTAATTTTAAAGCGGGAAAAGTGGCCTTATAGAATTGAATGAAAGCGTACAGGTAGAGTGATGTTTAGATCAGTGTATTATTTCATTGGTGGAGTCTGTTGAATCTTCATTTATATATGTAGTTGCCAAACTTGGATATTTAGCCTTGTTTTCCTTTCTTTCGTTTAAAGTAGTACTTTATTTTTATAAAATAAGAGTGTGAGTGTAGCATTTTATTTTTGTTAATAAATCTTCATTTTCTACCCTACCAGCATCTAAACAAAACATACAAATGCAACGTGCCGTTGGTCCTTATGAACTCGTTCAACACTGATGAAGATACACAGAAGGTGATCCGCAAATACAAGGGCCTCAAGTTAGATATCCACACATTTAATCAATCATGTCACCCGAGAATCAATCGGGAATCACTCTTGCCCATCCCTAAGACAGGGGACGTGTACGCTGACATTGATGCGTAAGTGATTTTAAATTTGCTAATTCGTTTATAGTTTGTGATTTACTTGATTTTAACTTACTATAAATATATCAGTTTCCACGTGTTGACTTTTACCCTTTATAATTTTTTGTATCAGTTGGTATCCACCCGGTCACGGCGACTTCTACGAATCGTTCCACAACTCCGGCCTCCTGCAGAAGTTCATCGCGGAAGGCAGAACGTATTGCTTTATCAGTAACATCGACAATTTGGGCGCGACCGTTGACCTGAACATCCTGAACCTCCTACTGAACCCAGACCCACAACGGCCGATTTCTGAATTCGTGATGGAAGTGACCGATAAGACTAGAGCTGATGTAAAAGGTGGTACGTTGATTCAATATGAGGACAAATTGAGACTATTGGAAATAGCTCAAGTTCCCAAAGAGCACGTAGATGATTTCAAATCGGTCAGTCAGTTCAAGTTCTTCAATACGAACAATCTTTGGGCGAAACTGGACGCTATCCAGAGAGTAGTGGACCAGGGCTCGTTGAACATGGAAATCATAGTGAACAATAAACATACAGCTGACGGCTTGAACGTTATTCAACTGGAGACAGCTGTGGGTGCAGCCATGAAGTGTTTTGAAGGAGGGATTGGCGTGAATGTTCCTCGGAGCCGTTTCTTACCAGTCAAGAAGACTTCCGACTTACTTTTGGTGATGTCGAACTTGTATAGTCTATCCCATGGATCTTTAGTGATGTCTCCTCAAAGGATGTTCCCGACGACGCCATTAGTTAAATTGGGGGATAACCATTTCGCGAAGGTCAAAGAGTTCCTGAATAGATTCGCGTCTGTTCCGGATATTATAGAGCTGGATCACTTGACTGTATCCGGGGATGTTACGTTTGGCAGAGGAGTGTCCTTAAAGGTGAGAAGTTATCTGTTGTTTGAAACAGCGCGTTTAATAATTATCGTTGCCATTTCCCATCGGGCTAGGGAAAAAAATTAGTAGAAGGCACCATTATAAAGTAATTGGATCAATTTTGTAATTATACTTAGCTTTAAATTATATACAAATTTATTATTTGGTATAACCTTATCTTTAAAAAAATATTGTTAGCCTGTAACTTCATCTGCCAGTGATTTGATTAATTAGTCTGCTTCTTCATTATCCTTGTCGATCCATTAAATAGGGTAAAAGCTAACGACTATATCACAGAAGAGTAACACTTACTTTGGAATAAGCACATGATTTTGCGAGTAACTGCTAATGTTTTGAATTTTATTTGCAGGGCACAGTTATTATTATCGCTAACCATGGCGACAGGATCGATATACCATCGGGGGCTCTTCTGGAAAACAAAATAGTGTCTGGAAACCTACGAATCTTAGATCACTAGTAGATTCGTGCAAAAGCTTTATGCTAGAAACAATAGCAAAAATTCGCACAACAATGTGTGTAACAGTGTTAAAGGTAACTCAGTAAACATATTATTTATACTGTATTTTTGATTTTCATACACCAGTGATCTTTTATATTTATTTATTTGTTACTAACTTATGTTTATTTAAATTAAATGATCTATTATTATAAGCACCAATTTTATATAAATATTTAACAAGATAATAAACGCAATATTTTTTCTAAACCATTGCTCTATATTAAGTGAATTAAATAGTTGAAATTATAATAATAAATATGGCAATAATTCATTTATAATATTTTTTTTTTATTTCTAATGTAAATCAGTAATCAAGTTTAAATAGGTGTGCCTAAAAGCGAAGTGACTTGATGATTTTATTTTAAGTTCAAAATATATTGATATTATTAATTAAAATTTGTGTTTCTAGAGACATACGTGTTGATGTAAATATGTTAATTATTTATAAAAAGTACAATTGTTTATATTGGTTGTTTAAAAAAAGAAATGCTGTTTTCACAATCGTGTGCCATTTTGCCGTGTTATTTTTTGTTGTTGAAATTATACTTTCTTAAGTTGTCTTAATTTGTAGAACTAATATTTAATGGATTTTAAATATTAAAAAAAATTAACATGTTCAAGTTCACTTTAGATTCTTGCCAGAGTTTTTGGTCAGTAGACTTAAATAAATATTTATTAATAAAAAAGTTGGTCCGTATAAGTTATTGTTTTTATTCCATATCACATGACATGCTATTCTTTACTAAAAAATATTCTTAATGACAAATGATTAAAATCTTCACTTTGGATTTTTTAAGCATTTTCATTAAGAGTATTTATTTAAAATTGTTCAAATATAATCATTATATTTATTTTACAAAATATAAAGTAGAATGAAAAAAAATATTTATACAACAAGATTCCAATATATCCTTTTAAACCCTAAAGGACGGTGCACATCAGACACAAAATTCGTCAAACGTCTCACGGAAGTATGCGACAGTAGGTAACGGAATTTCCGTCAAGTATGCAAAGTTATTCCGCACTATTATCCCCTTGACTATTAAGGTTGTCAAATATCTATAAGGCTGACTTAAATTGTTATTGGGGTGGAAGCCTTTTATTGGCCTAAAACATAATATACATTAGTTTTGTGTCGCTTCCATAATCAATATTTACTAGCACTCGGTTACGCGGTCTCTATTGAATCTGCGTAGAGAATAAATGATGTGTCCGTAATTCCAGCAGAGTCTTTGGGTTTGTTAGGACAGTCTTTTATTGAAATTAGTTTTGTGTCCCAATAGTGAAATTTAACGAATTAAACCTCACTATTGGTGATTCAGCACTTACTATCTCCAAAATCATCTCAGAGTTTTTTTATCTTTTACTGAAAAACTGCGACTGATTAGATAAATACGTACCAAAGTAATAGTAACTGCGGACTATATTGCGGACACGAAATTCATGTGTCAACTTTATTACACTAAAGCTAAAGAGGTAGACATTTTCTTAGCTGCTCACATTAGATTCCTTATAATTATGTATGTCATATTATGTATATTAATTACATAACTTAAATATATTACGTACAATATAGATATTACAGCGCTATATTACTAACAAAATTTATGGTAACACACATTAAACATTAATTACACATTACACACATTAATACTTTAAAATTAAAACCTTATTCTAAAAAAAAAGCGAGACTAAACCGCAGCAATTTTCCCAACCTTGAAACGCGGTGGCTAGATTGAAAATGTGTTCCGAAAAAGAGTTTTGTAATGTTTGAAAGTTAATTTATTACTTGGTTATTTAGTAGTTATTTCATAAAATAATACTCAGTCTTTCATTAAATGGAACAAACATATTTAGAAATCGCTAGAAGTTTTTTTTTTTGCGTCAGCACCACCAGATGTTCCAGCGTCTGAGTTCCGCGCTGGATACTGAGTGATATATACCCTTAGTACTTCAACATACTGAAATATGAAGCTTTCGAGAACTCTTGCAGATTTTATTATGACTACTTAGGCTTAAGGAAGTGAAGTTTCCAAGTTTGTTTATTTTGTAGGGGGTAATCTTCGGAAATACTGAAGCGATCATGAAACTTCTTTCTAGCCTCCTAAGGCACAGCTTTCTTAAATCTTTGCTTAAACCATTAAACAAATTAAGGCTCATAACAGTTATAAATGATGTTGTGTATAATAATTTAGAACATCAAAATTAAATGCCCTCACTTAAACTAATATGATATAATGTGGGCGTGAGCTTAGTTTAACTGATGACTAAAAAAAAAAAAATCACCAATCCCAGGTAGCCATAGAATTTTTTTAATTATTATATACAATTAGCACAAATTTTCATCTTAAATCTTTTTCGGCCGTTTGAGTCATTTACATTAATGAAAATACGCTCATTAGTAGTAAAAGTAATAAGTGCTTAAGAAATTCGTCAGTCTTGTTTGAGTCTTGGAAAGTTCAATGGTTTAGTACACAACCTTTCCATTTCGATTATTCACTCGGATTGTAAAGGTTGTGGGTTCAAATCCTATCTCGATGTACATGGGTTGGGACTGGTGATTTCATTTTTTTTTTTAATGAAATATATTGATCAATATAGCAATGTAAATGCAAAATTGTTCAATAAACTCAATATGGGTAAAATGAGGTACTAGGAGTGCAGTGTGAGGAGGAAGACTATGCTAGTCGTGGTTGCGGCCACACGGCGGCGGCGAGGCTGATGCCGGCCGCTAGCACCGTGCACACCGCGCTGACCACCGGCATCAGGTATATGGACGGGTTGTGGAAGTCGCAACGGTTTTCCTTGAAGAACGCGCACGTTTCCTCTGAAATACGTTAACAGTGTTAACACTCCCTGCTAAACATTGCTATCATATCAATAGACTCAATCGTGAGAATTATCAGGGGTGCGACCGCCTAACTCTCTAGCTATGGGATATCTCATCTTATCATCTTATGTTATGGCGATATTTCGTTTCATTTTTACACCTTACCTTACATGCCTTTTGGTGGTAAGCTGATTTGGTACTTATTTATTTATTTAACAAACTTTATTGTACATTAAATTGGTACAAGAGGCGGACTTAATGCTATTAGCATTCTCTACCAGTCTACCTTTGTGATACAGAAATACACGATGGCGGCATAAAGTTAACTTATAAATATACTACTTAAACTACACTTTAGAAGAATTTATATACAATTATATAAACATAAATAAAAATTATACTACACATAAACATAAGCACATATACAAATACATATAAATATAATTAGGTACTTCTACACTACAAACTTTTATTTCACTCACTTCAATACAATTCGTGATATTTTTTATTATTATCGGTGTGCCTGCTAGCTTGACGCTTAAAGCAACGAGAATTTCAAAAAGAAGGCAGGATTTTGAAATTATTATTTCGTAAAAAACCATTGTGACTGAAATTGCGATACTCATGAAACTTATATATGAACCAAAGGAATTCTTCATTACTACTTTTTAAAGTTAAATTATTCATACTAAACTTTCAAAACTAGTTAAGGTAGGACTCACGGTCGATAGTGAAGTACAGTAGGTGTCCCAGCACGCCGGGCGGCTGTGAGTGCCACAGTGGCTAGTATTACGACCATAGCTAGCGGCTTTTTAAACATGTAATAGTACTAGTGAAGGTGGGACTCATGGTCGATAGGGAAGTACAGCAGGTGTCCCAGCACGCCGCTTGTGAGCGCCACAGTAGCAAATATTACGACCATCGCTAGCGGCTTTCTAAACATGTGATAGTACTAGTGAAGGTGGGACTCACGGTCGATAGCGAAGTATAGCAGATGTCCTAGCACGCCGGCGGTGAGCGCCACGGTGGCGAGCATCACGCCCATCGCTAACGGCTTGTCTGAGCCGCGTACCGCACGCAGTAGCGACATGCCCTGCATCAGCATCGCTGCTCCTAAAAATATAACAATACCTTCTCAGTTCATAGTAATAACACTAAAATTCATTGTAAGGTTCCTTCATTTTCTACATTATGTTATAACATAACTTCATATAAAAATACTCGATTTTTTATGCTTAACACATATACTATCTTAAGGTAGAATCTTAGATTAATCGATAAAAGAGATTAAAAAGAAAGTAAGAGAAACTTTGTACCTACGTGTGATGCAGGTTACATAAATTGCTCACATTCTTCCAATCATATTCTTTCAAAACTAATGTTCGGAAAACCAGCGTAAATAGGACGTCGATTTGCTGAGACGCCTACAAAATGAAGGAGAAGACAATGCTTCCCCTGTGTAATTGTCACTTACCAGCTATAGCGAGCACCAAGGTGACGAACACTTGGTACAGCGTGTGTATCAGATGGCAACCGGGCAGACCACACGCGCCGCGAGTAGCGCCCGTCACGTCACATGAACACTTGGTAAATATGCTAAAAAAAAAACAAATATTAAGCTTTTGAAATTAATTAAATATTTTTATTCTAACAATATCAGCTCGCCGGGGTACAGGATGAACGATTCAAATATACCAACATTAATCAATGTAGGGACAAAACTATTGTAATAATAAATATAAATGTGGTATTCTTTTGTCTATGCTATATTGGAGGATTCATATAAACATAAGGAGAAGACAGGATGAAATCAGCAGGCCAGTTATCTCAGTCTAAATTTCCTTCTTCCCAAAAGCATGTTCCGCAATCAATAGGTAATCTTACAGTGTACCTGATGTAGAGCTAGACAGAAGGTCTTTTAAATATGCATTGCAGTCTTGTTCATCGACTAAATGTTATGATTTCGTCATGTGTCATGGATTGACCGCAAATATTGGCAACAAATGAATTAAAATTCCCATTTTGCAACGGTGGCAAATCTCAGTGGCCATGGCGACAAAAGTACTCCTTGCTGGCAACTGGTTACGTACGTAGGTGTTAAGAAAAAAATTCTGTCACAACTAGTTGCCAATAGGGTATTTAAAATTTCTCTGAAAACTATTTTAAACGGTTGTTTGGTAAATTTTAAAACACACAGTCAGTGACGTCACGCGCCGGTAAATATGTCAAGGCGATATACCTATTTCTCAACTTTTTATTTACGAAGTTAAATTTTATGTTTTATATTGTATGGTTTTCTAATTACTGTTTTGAGATTACAACTTCTTGTTTACAAATGACGTCACATGCCGGTATACAGAACATGTTATTGGCTGCGACGTCAACCAATTAATAGGGCGTTTTCGTTGTTCAAAGTTCCTTAAAATGTTGCATTTTTCTTTACGTTATTTTACTAAAGCTGAACATATTTTATCTGCAGATTCTAAGAAAAAACTTTATTAGATTATTACCTAACAGGATGACCACAACACGCAACTTATATTTACTATTGTCAAATACCTTATTGATCGAAGCCAAGGAGGGATAAAAACTCAATTTTCACAATTGGTTGTGAAACTCAATCGACATGTAAAGGGCAGGTAAAATTTTACAATACTACGTAGGAAAGGTACCCGTTAAATGACTTACAGAAAATCGTTAAGATTGTGATAGTCGGTACAGCCGGCCTCGCAAGGTGAGAAATACGTCAGGGAAGTGTTCAAACCACACACGGGTATGAAGCCGTGTCTTCTGTTGTCGCACCTGAAAAGAGAAAATCTTGAATTAGAATTTACAGGATCCGTGCTATATGAGCCTTAAGAAAGCAAATTATACAGACCTCAATTTCATATGAAATCAAGCGTCTGCTATCCTATCTGCAAGTGTATTTGCAGATAGGATAGCAGAGGTAAAATCTCTGAGACTCAAACAATTCATAGACTTTGGAATTACGCTATGAATTATATGGTTTAATATGCTCTATGCTGTTATCTGTCGTTAATGGTGAAGTTGATTCCAGTGATTTTTAGGCGCGCCATCGATGGTTGCTATAACTACGAAAAGCGCGGTCGCAAACAGCGCGGTCGCAAACAGCGCGGCTGTAAACAGCGCTAGAATAAATTAAAAATATACTTACAAGCAGGGCTGATTACAGACTATCGTGCTGTGAGTATTGTCGCTTATTCCAGCGATTTCTCCGGGACTGCAGTCGATGGTTGCTATGGCGACGAACAGCGCGGCCGCAAACAGCGCCACTACGCCGCCGACGCGTGCCGCCGTGTTTGCTTTGACGCCGTCGCTGCGTCGCACCGAAAATCGCATGCGGAATATCTGTAAGTCGTGACGTCATTCCATGTAGAGGTCAAAAATATTAGCTTTTTGGTTGGTTGGACACAAACCGTTTATTAAATTCTTCGAGAAATTTATCCAACCCTCATCATCTCTGAGGTCCCAGATTCGATTCACGGTCAAGTCAATTTAGAAAAATGGACTTTAAACTTTTGATTTAACTTTCATTATTACAGAAATAAATTGTTGATATATTTCTGTGATCATTATATTTTTCATGTGTGCCACCGCTACTTTTGTTTTAAGTACACTTTTCCGTGTTATAATCTGACTATTGTTTTTATAACACAACGTCGTTTTTATTTGAACGCCTATAACCGGTTCTGTTGTAATAAAATAAAATAAATATAATACTTTTCCCTTTTGTCTCGAGTCTGGGCGATGTTTATATCTATAATATATAAAGTATGTATATATAACCTTCGCTGGTTCATTAATACTTATAATACAATTGATACATGCAATTTAATTGGCGAGCTGAGTAATTTATCTGATGTTATCTATTATAAAATAATAAAAGATATGCACTATTATTATGTATACATACAAATGTACAACCATTTAACAATTGAAATAAGTTGGCATGGAAGTTTTCGTATCTTTAATTAAAAGGTATCTAAACCTTTTTCTGTTGAAATTCCCATTACCTATTTTATGTAATAGGCCGCTAAAATAGAACGCATTATTTGATTCTTATCACTCTTCTTGATTTGCTAGGCAGAAACGATTTCTGAGGCCAAGGGTATATCTTTGTAGGTACTTCATCTAAGAATGAGACAGTAATTTTTTTCTTTCAAACATATTTCAAAGAAAAATTGTCATCATGTTAGGCGCCCTTCATTAATCACGTGAAGTTTTTTCAGCATTTTTTAACCCACCTCCCCTTCGGTGATACATGGTGAGGTTTAAGACTACCCTCAAAATCACATGTATTTTACAAAAATCTTAATTTTTGACTCTGCTTTTCGGTTTAGTAGTCACGCGGTCGAGGAAAAGATAAATCCACGTGATATATTACTACATTTCCCCTCCCCTCCTTTTTATATTTCGTGATTTTTGACGAACCCTTTCCACTTAGGTATATCATTGCGTTTTCATAAAAATTATTGTTATTCTTACCATTATAAAGAAAATGATGACAATGGGTCGAAATATACTGCTGAGTAATTCTGAATTCCGTATATCCGGTCTTAGTGTGTCTACGTGATATCGTGCCTGGAATTATTAATTTATTTTTGAAGAAAATTATAATTGACTGTAGATAAAATATTTTAATTGTAACATAAAAAATATTAAATTTAATAAATTTTGCATTCATAATCATTTTTAATTTGATCAAATATTATTTTGGTAGTTGGCGTAGTCGATAAGCGGTGACCAAAAAAAAACCTCCAATCCGCATTGTGTCAGCGTGGAGTGTCATGGCCCGTCCTCCTTAACCATCCATAAGAAAGGCCTGAGCCCCTATAGTAGAGGTGTAACATGGCTGATGATGACATGATGATAATTTTGGTTGTTAGGGTTGATTATCTGAATATTGTTAAAAATACCTCCTTCAAACCCTTTTCTTTTTTTTGACCCAGGGAAAATGCGTTACGCACTATCCCTGCCGCCTTGTCGGGACGACAGGGTGTGTATGGGATTCTCCACCGCTGAAGGCGGGGACCTTCCCACTAAAAACCCTTGGCATGCCCTCAGATGGGAGTGGCGCCCGGGATCCCGAGCATATTCGCCGGGCCCCCCACTCCTTACCTTCTTCAAACCCTTTGGGTCTGAGGTAGCTCAATGAATAGAGCAGTCGCCGGATTGCAAAAGATTACGGTTCGAATCCCATCTCGAGGCATTTAGGACTGATGACTTTTTCCTAACATCGTTTTAAATTAAAATGTACAGTTATAGTATTATTATCATTAATATGCAGAAGACAATGATTACTTACCTGTGCGTATAGCTTATCGTAGTGCAGGAATTTAAAGAGTGCAATATTCATAAACCCTAGCGCACCCATTTGCAAAATCACTGTTTTATTGGTAAGCACCCTTTTCAATGAAGGCAGGAATCCTGAAAAGGTTCACCAATTTACTAATTCTAAGACAAATTATATGAATTATTAAATAATCTAAAACCTCATCAATACTTGTATTTTACTAAATAAATACTTTTCAAATAATTATATAAATTTTATTATTGATAACAAACTCATGTTTCATACAACATGTTTTGATGATTTCGAAATATGATATTAATAAAAATATTGTGTCATTTTTGTTTGGACAGACCGCAATAATGCGTTAGTCGACATACTCTGGTCAAGTCGGAGTGATTCTGGTACATCAATCACTAATTTTGTGTCTATTTGAGTAAAATTTCGAAGGTATGAAAACAAGAGTTAGTAACTCCAAATTAAACTAACTTAAAGTAAACTAACCGTCGTCGTTGTCATAACAGATTCCCTCTATGTTTTGACCCCTCGGAAACAGCAGGAATAACACAGCGAACATGAGAATCAATAAGCAGATACAGATCTGCGGCACCTGCCAGTCAGCCAGGTTAGCGCTGGCCCGCAACCACTCCTTGCCACTCAAGCCCAGAGACAGCTGGATGGAGATCAAAATACCTGGACACGTTAAACAAATTTTCAGAATTTATTTCATCATCGTCAAACTATTAATTGCTGAGGCGCATGTCTTCCCTTTAAATCAAATTATACCGAATAGGGAGAATGACCCACCATAGTATGAATTGGTAGGAGTTAACTACTAAAGATGCAATTGGGGTTAACGGCTTAAACGTGCCTTCCGAAGCACGGAGAGACCGAGACAATAAATGTTTGGTCACTCATCCTATGACCGGCGTTTATGAAACTTGCTTAATTCCGACATCACAGATCAAATGCACTAACAACAGCGCCATCTCCTCGTTATTAATAACGTAAAATTACCATAAAAGTAGGCTCCGTCTTCTGGAGCTCTATCATCTAAGTGTGTGAACCCATGCGCCCAAACGCTGACTTTTGCTATGGCACAGAATGCCAGGGTAGCTATCAGGAACACAGAGCGGTACGTTGAAGCAGTCATGTTGTCCATATATGTTTGTGCAGTTTGTTCGGAGCTGAATCCAGACAGCTCTGGGATTGGAGTATTTCCACACAGTTCTGATAAAAATAAAATCGTCATCAGCCTATTGATATCCCCCTATCGCCCTGATTTAACACTGATAATCTAATAAATAAAATTCTCGTGTCACAATTTTAGCTACCATACTCTTCTGAAACGACTTGACCGATTTCAAGTGTTCTGAGAATAGGTTGTTACCAATTTCTTATACTTGTAAGTGATAAGGGTAGTCCACCTAAACTGTATATAGCAAAACTGCTTTTGCCGGGTCAGTTAATATAAAATATATGAAGTAAAAATTATTTAACACTTTAATTTTATAGGTACTGGCTGATTTTCTGTGACTTTGCCCACGTATAACGTATAATGAAGATTCCCGCATATGAATGAATTTATAAAATAGGTCCAGTAGTTTTGGAGGCTTTTCAAAGCAGATAAAGAAATGATCTTTCGAAACTTAAATAAATGGCGTTTATTAAAGTATTTAAATGTACCTACTTAAAAAAAAATGTTTTTATGTATGAGTCGTATATAAAAATAATGTTCTAGTTTTCAATTTAATGTCTCAGGCATACTTCATTATTATTTTTGTTTATTATTTATGTTCTAATATTTTAACTATAAACTTGCCAGCTAATGGTTCATTATCACGATCAAAAGGAAACGCGATCACAATTAAGCCAATCACAGCAGCAATGGTGAGCCAGAAAGAGAGAGAAAGCTGTCGTTTTCCTCTACCCAGCCACGCTATAAATGCTCCAACCAGAAATTCCACTCCTCCGACACCAATCGTTGCAATATCTGCAAATAAAAAACACTTACATTTTTTTTACTATAACTAGTATTTATTTCAGTATTAGGGCGATGCTTAAGCAGTTCCTTGTGGATCTGCTGATAGTCATTGCGACCTAAAAGATCTTTTGTGACTGAGCTATTGTAAGTAGTTCTTTCGCCCTAATCTAAAAGGTCTGTTGTAAATTCGATTTCAAACTGTCAATTATAATGTTAAGACAATAAAAGGACTCACAAGATGCTTCTATTTTTTGTACTTCCATGGGAAATTTTAGGGAACTTTAAGATTGTCCAATCACAGACTATTTATTAATTTCATTTAGTGTGTCCCGTGTCGGATTTTTGCCAATTTAAATGCATTTCTGCACTAATTCGACATTTAATTCTTTGATAGTCCCTATCAGGACCCTATCAGGTCAGGTCAAAAATTCAAGAAGGCCAAGACACACCTAATTGTAAGTTTTTTCACTTGAATTATGATTTTTTAAACAATACGAATAGCTAGTAGGGTGAAATAGTCACCGTGTGCCTAAATGTTCCTTTAAAACATTAAAAACAAAAAAGCAGTGATTAATAATCACATTTAATAACGGCATGGTTTAGGATAGTGACGTACCTCCCATAATCATTGATGTTGGTCCGGTTTCAGAAGTCCGCCTGAGCAGCAGGAAGCAGTTGTGTTCCAGGAGTATGACCATCAACAGCGTTCCTTGCAGGAACAGGTCGAAGGTCTTTACCGTCAGCAGCTTCGCAGTGATTAGTGCCCATAGTTTTGTAACTAATAATACAATGAGGTTAGTTGTACCAGCTTACTTTAACAATAACGTGCCTTATTATATTTGATCAATTTCACATTTACAATGCTATACTGCAGAATACAGTAGCTCGGTGGCGTAGTGGATAAGCGCCACGGCATCCTGTCGTTGTTGTTAAGCAACTTTCGCAAGGGTGGGTCGAGCTACTCCGTGCTTCGGAAGGCACGTTAAGCCGTTGGTCCTGGCTGCATTTGTAGTCGTTAATACCCGCCAATACGCATTGGGCCAGCTTGGAAGGTCATGACCCATGCTCCTTAACCATCCATAAGGAAGGCCTGAGCCCCTGCAGTGGGGACGAAATAAAGGGCTGATGATGATGATGATTATGACTGCAGAATATTCTAAATTAAAAATGCTTAAAAATTCCACCAGGACCAAGTACTCTGAGATGTTAACCGGTTAAGTATAATGAATTGCACCATTTGACAATAGTTAGACGAGCTCGATAGCGTATTGGTTGGTGGGTTCGGGCTGTGGTACCAAAATTGAACTCCTCCGTGCTTCGGAACGCACGTTAGGCCGTTGGTTCCGGCTGCATCTGCAATCGTTACAGCCACCAATCCGCACTGGGCCCGCGTGGTGAATGTTTGAGCCCAAGTAGGGGGATATTAATTGATTGGTGATGAGGGATTGGCATATACTGAGCTAGACACCTCTTTGCTATAACTGTGGGAAACTCATCGCTTTATCACTTTTATACGTATTATTATTATAACTATCATTTAATGTTTTCTCTCATATTTAATTCTTCATTAATTGTCTGTAAGTGTCCTATGTATGTGTACCAAATAAATGAATTTGATTTGATTTGAGATATCGGCAAATTTGACATGAACATTAACCTCTATTATGGTGCAATCCAGCCTAAGTTTCACAGACGTTAATATTTGCAAAGGTAAACTAAAAATTTAGACTGATCTAAAGATTCTCCACAAAGTTATAAGTAATATAGTAGTCAAGTCGTTCTAGCTTGTAACGATTGGCTACTTTATCCAATTCATAATAGTCAAAATAATGTTCTTATGTGAGAAACACTTAACAAAGGAAAGTGTTAATACTGGAAGAATAGGTCTCAATCGTATTTAACAGCAGATGTCGGTAAAGCTAACCTGTGCTAAGATATTAGATTTATCATACGAAAACATATTTATTTTTGTAACTAAGTATTTTTCCTATATTAATATTATAAGGAGGAAGGATTTGATTTTTTTTCATTATCGTATCTTTCTCCGCGTCACCCAAGCGGTATGCCAACGATATTAAGTTCGCCTATGTATCTTGTGTATGAAGTGTTAAATCAACACGCCGGTAACATAGGCTATGGTTTACGCTTTCAAAGTCCAAAATATCAAGTATTAAAAATACTAGTTGTAGTTATTCTTATGTTTATGTTAACGTTATAGCGTAAAATAACGTTATAGTTTATCTCAAAGCTCCTCCCAAGGTAAAATTATTATAATTACCAGTAACATTTGATACGGAACAAATCAATAATCGCATACTTGATAGGATAATGATGTTTACGTGTCGAATGACGTTTTATCGCAAAACTGTGGATTAATTGTTAAATAATTTTCACGTGCTCATTATATAACTTAATATTAATTGAAGAGAATCCATACAATATATTATGAATAGGAAATGCTGTCCGTTTGTCCACGTTCATGGTAATTATTCGAGTGGTGATATATTTATTACATTCCATAATGTAGTGTGTTCACGAAAACAAAAGTAGATTGATGGGATACCGTAGTGATCCTACTTTTTTACCGCAAAAAATGGTGTTTCTGTTTGACCACGCGGTCAAAAGTTATATTCTATTACCATCGTCATTTGCTTGCCCTTTTCTAATTATTAATTTAGGGTTGACGCAATATATATTCTTCTTTTAAACTTCTCTAGTTAACATCTCAATATTCACTTCTTTCTTATCTATATCATATTTCATACTGTCTATATGTCTCTTCTTCGCTCCTTCTATTTCCATCTACATTTTGACTCAAAATTATTTAAAAATATGGCATAAATTATAGTCTATGTCACCCGCGTATGATAAAGGTAGATGAAAGAATTTTTAAAATTTACCCAAATTTTTGGAGTCCTAGGTATAAGAAAAAATTAAACTTATTATATTTTAGCATACGGGAGTATATATGTATTTTTTTAATTACATATGACTACTTAGAGATAGTGTTAATAAATCCCAAATAAAAATTAGAAAATTTTAGTTTGGCGAGAGGTCAGCAGAATTAGCACCTGTTTCTGTCATATTTCTTAGTTTCAATAGTTTCACATGTCGTGGCAGTAAAAATTATTGATCCCATATCGTGTCCTAATTTTTTGCATCTATTTCAAAAAGCTTATTTCATTGAAGCTCTACGTGACAGCGTTGCGTTCGACGACAAATTCGAAGAAACTGAAACTCTTCATCAGCAGCCAGAACTCGCAACTTAATGTGCCTTCCGAAGGACAGACTTGTCAAAGAAATTAATCGTTGGCTTTTATAAAAGTCAGGCTGTTCAGAAATACTCGCAATACACGTGAATTAGGCGCGTTTTGCTGTACATTACTCCCTGGTAATGAGTACTATTAAAATAAAATAACACGTTTGCAGCATTGAAATAGAAATCATGTGTGACATCGCAGCGACTCCCCCGCTTATTATTCTACACAATCTGGACCACTATACCATTACCCCCATCAAGCTACTTACACAGTACTTAGTGTGAGCACACACACATAGGTAATGGATATTAACAAAAAATATATATATTCAAACTGATATCAATTTAACGTGTAATGAAAGTAATGAAGTATTTAAAAAAAACGATAGCATTGAAAAAGCACCTCCACTAGATGGCGACTCTAGAAAAAATAAATTTTTGCAGGAAACGAATGGACCAAAGACAGTCATTTCCGTTCCTTTTAACTAACACATTAAAAAACTGAAATTAGAAACGTTCGAAACTTAGATATCAATACAAATACGAAAAAGTACAAATCAAATACGTGTTGTTTATTGAGTTTTGAAAACTAATTTACTTTTAAACATCAAAGAAAACCGGAAGAGTTGTCATAGAGAAATCAAGAACGTACCATAGCGACATCTAGTTTCATTTCGGGAACTAATGTTTTTTTTTAATACTTCCTCATTAACTTTGGTACTACGAATCACCATGTGTGGTAAATTATGCATTTTTGTTGCGCGCTTAGATTTATTGTGGAGTCCGAAATAATATTTTCCAACATAAAATTCTAAATAGCGGAAAAGAATAATACTTACACGACATTATTGCTTCTATTTATAGATTCCTCTTAAATTTGACATATATTGTAAAAATGTATGTATTGAAAATTTATTTTTTATTTTTCATAGCGACACAACACACTTCTATTCATTTCGCGCGTCACATAGCGTCCACAAAAAAAATTACTTTGTTATCAGTAGTCAGTAAAGTCACTAGTAAGGTACTAACTTTTATATCAGCGAATTTATCGATGTGTAGATCTCATATCTGTTAATAATTAACTTATTGTCATTTTTTATCTGTATTCATTTCCTTGCATTTTTTCATGATTTATCGACCATTTTTCATGAATTACTCGGGAAACTATAAAATGTAATGTATAAAAAAACTAATACAAATTAACCTCTCATTAGTATCTACATTTCTTCTCGCAATTGTTTCATTTTAAGGAGCCTTTTTTATGATATTTGATCGGCGATAGTATAAGGATAAAAGCAACTTTCACAAGGTTGGCCAAAAATTTCTTATATGGAGCTCCTTCATGCTTGCGAAGGTACGATAAATCATTGCTGGCACAGGCTAAATCTGCAGTGTCTAAAACCCACAAATCCGCACTTGGCTCGCGTAATGGGTCAGGGTCCATTCTCCCAGTTCGATTCGATTCCATTCATAATGAATAGTTATTCATAATGTTAGACAATTTTGTATATTATTATTTATCAATGTCTTCCGATAAAATACATATCTAATGAATTGTACATTATCTAATTAACTTATTGTGAGCCTAAACTGATTCAGATTAATTTTTAACACATATTGTAACCTGGTTCGATACAAAAACAAAGTTTCTACATGGTTCTTTATAACGATGACTAATTTCACTGAGGAGCTCAATGGCGTAGTATTTAGCGCCTTCGGTCTGTAACGCGAAGGTACCTATCAACTTACGCAACGGCCTGTCGTAGGATGGGTGGCCAAAAATTTATAATAGTTAACACTCGCCATTCCGCATCGGGTGTGCCCGGTGGGTCGGGGTCACATCTACCTCATGTGTTCATAAATTTTGAGACGAAATAAAAGTTGCGTAAATTTTTACTTATATTTCAAATATTTTCATGGAACCATGAAATAGATAATAATCAACAATAAAATATATATTTTATTCAAAATGACTACCCTTGTTTTTAATTTAGGTCTTTAGACGATTTGGTCAGTCATCAATTCCACCAAGGGCTCTGAAATGTTAATCTGATAATTCTTGGCTTTCACCTTGATACCTTGTTAGCAAATGGAGCGAAGTGACACCTTCATACGAAACTCCCCTCCACCATACTATCACACTTTTATTACACTTTTATTGTTTTGTCGGTTGAACTTTTCTTCGACATTAAAAATTTTATTGAACGTGAAGAGCATCTTCCTGGCATCATGTTTCCTCAGCACCAATGGACAACGTTCGCGTCGTAACTTACGAAGACGATCGTTTAAAAAGTGAAATTTTTTACGGCTATAGGCCTTTACTAAGGTAAAAGTTTACTGAGGTAAAGGCCTATAGATCACATTTCAGTATTCTGTTCACTGAATGGCGCGAAATATTAGTCTGCAGAGCGAGTTTCTTCTGAGTGCGACATGGATTTCGGCGAAGTCGCTCTCGGATGATTTTGATGTTTGCAGGTGTCCTCACAGAGCATGTTCGACCACTCTTTTGGCGATTGTAACAGTTTACTAAAAAAACTATCTCTCTTTTGAATGTTAGCTGATGTGCTTAATTCATTTTTACTTTTTAATACAAATGAATTTAAAGAAAAATAATCAATATAGATAATTGTAGGTACATCGGTAACAATTGTACTATGTAGGAAGGCAGACATGGGAGCGCAGCGCGGCTCATAGTGGTAAAATGACTTCTCGCAACAATACATTCATTTTTTAAGGGATTTTGAATTATTTGTAAGTTTGTGCTAAATAACCCCGAAATCGGGGTTCTTCTACCCGAGTCGTAACAATATTTGCTGAGATGTATCCTATGGTTAGATATATGGTCATGGTGATGGCTTGAGAGTTAGGCGACCGCCCTCTGTACGAGTGGTAGGTAAAAATTATACATAATTCCATATTTTATTGTATTTTATATTTATATTTGTTTACATTGTAAATGCTGGTTATGTAACAATAGCTAAGTCATATAAAAATGTTAAAGTAATATTAAAATAACAACATAATTATTTGATAAAATTAATTTACAACATTTTTTTTAATCTCCTAAACAGTTAATTTAGTCATTAACTCTTGACTTTAACAGTTAAAATGTATTATAACTAAATGCTATTATAAAATGTCATGTTAATTGACACATAATTGTTAGTTCTGGTGTAATATATATAATAATTATTATAAACGTTTATTTTCTTGCAAATATTACACGTTAAATATTAAGAGCAAAATCTTATTTTTTAAGGTAACTAATAAGTACTTTACTCGTCTCCAAAGTTTCTTCGACAGTAAACTTGATTTCACTGGTAAATATTAGTAATTATAATAAACAGTAAGTAAATATCAAATAGGCTTAATGGAAAAGTAAAAATGGATCACTTTGCGACAAAAGAGCTTCTATTTTTTTTCCTTTATCTGCAATCAGCTTTAAGCTTTAATCAGATAAAAAGAGCGTCTAAATAAAAGAAGCATTTAACGCAACTTCAAAGACGTTGACCCACTGTAAGTTTTATACTGTGACATAACTCAACATGATAACACATCACTTCATTACACTTCATGTAGTCATAAATTTTTGTCCTTCATAATTTTGATTTTGTCGTCAAGCAGCCTTGTTTAATAGCTTTTCTTCCAGCCAAGGCACGAAGTATGTGACTCTGCTGTAGACTCCAGGGAAGCCCGCCTCGGCACATTTCCTGCCGAATGACACTACACCGATTTGGTAGAAGTGCGTTGTATAATCCACGTCGTTCCACTGAAATAAATATTTGACAATATTACATACATTGTTCAGATTCCAACCAGATTCTTTAGATTTCAAAGTAGCCCTTGTAATATGAAGTATCTATAGTGACGGGTCCATGTAAAATTTCCCTAATAATGGGAATCTAATTCAGGGACGGTGACACTTTGGAACTGGTGTTCCTATCAATCTGCCAACGTCCGTGGAATAGAATATTGTCTCCTCAAAACTGCATCTTTATGCAGTTAGACTAGGAATAACAACTAGAATAGGCCCAAAGGTGTCACGAGTTATACTCACAATGGGCTGCATGAGGGGACCACCGCTGTCACCCTGGCACGCGTCCTTGCCTCCCTTCTTGTACCCGGCGCACAGCACCCGCTCGTCGATCTTCTGCATCTTATAATTAATATACGCCTGCGCACAGAAGTCGTTGCTCACTACCGGCAATTGGAGAGCTTGTAAGTGCGTCGCAGATGGACCCTCTGAAAAACAAAACACAACGAGTTTTCAAACATAGAAAACAATAACATTCTAGTAATAATATTTGCAAAATTGAAACATTTTGTAAATTAAAAATATGAAAAATAAGTTGACTCCAAATAATTTTATAAAACTTTTTACGACTACTCTATTTAAGTGTATAACCTAGGTGATTTAATTATATTACGACTTTTGGTAGAACATAAGAAAGGGCGCATAAAATCACTGAAGTAAAGATTAGAAAGCGCTGCGATCTATCTATGGAAAGCTCCTCTATCATTAATTAAATAGTTTGACTGCTAATAATTGTTTTTATTTTTAATTTTATATTAACCATTTTATTTCATATTATGATTACTAGATTATCAGACTACTTATTTTATTTTTGATATGAAGTCCTCCTCTCTCTAAATTGTTGCTGTGTCCGACAGGGTCCATATTTTGTTTATGATAATATTATGTTATAACATCTATATAAAAAAATCATTTTCAATAAACGTTAAGTATTTGAGATAACTTACGGAATTCTGTGTCTCCCCAGCCGGCAATGATAGGGTTGTAATCCTCGAAGGAGCGCGCCCTTAATTCACTGTCCTTCGGTATGCATATGGGCTTTATCAAACCTGGTAACATAATTATCATTTAAAATACAGTTGTCATAAAATTTCAAAACTATGGTCACTGGTTACACGTACAAAATATAACAAATATCACATTCATAATTTTGTCACATACGAGAAGCTACATCATACGCGTATGATGTAGGTTATAATTTACGAGGGCGAAGTCTAGGTCTTGCAGATACTGACTAGTTGTTGCTAGGTATCATAGTTTTACAGTTCATATATAACTTCCGGAAGATACCGCTTAATTAACTTTACACAAGGAGGCAAGCAGAAGGCCGATTCTTTTTGTTCTCGAATGAAAATTAGTAAATTTTTATAAAGTTCTTACAATTTTTTTGTTAAATATATTATTTGAAAATGCATTTCTTTGGAGTCGTACTAGCTATTCGAAAATAGACGAATATTCGTTTTCGAAGAAATAGATAAGGCTTCAGGTGTCACGTTAATGAGTACGAGTTAAAACTATAAATACTAACTTGTAAATGTGACTTCTCTTTCTAACACGAGTATGCCGATGTCGTTAGTGAAGGCTGTGGCGCTGTAATCCTCGTGTTTTATCTTAGTCTTGATTGGTACGTCCACAGGGGTCGCACCTTCGTCTTCTTTCTCAAGATCGAGCTCGCCTAATCTGACCACGTATCTGAAAACAAATGTAATATAATATTAACCTGCATTGCATATAATACTCATAACCCAAATTAATTAGTTTTTTACTAAGTACCATTACAATGAAAGTACCAGCTAACGTAGACCCGAGACAATAGAAGAAAAGTACTTTTTTTTTCTTTAACCGGAAATGGAACCGGTATTGTCAGAGGTGGTGATATCCTAAAATCAGGGTGTGAGCCACTTAGTCACGAATATATATCTGAATATTAAGGGCTCAACTTTCTTTGTCAAGAGAGCGCGGAGTCACAAGATTCACTGGCAGATAATGTCCAAGGTATTAACTCCAAATAAATAGAATACGATGGTACTATATAATTTGACCAAATATCACAGATTTTCATAAATATTTGCCTGTAAAAGCTTTATAATTATTCAAAATGGAATTTGAATTTGCTTCACCCTTATATGTGATGTGAAAGTGCTGTTGTGACACTGAGTTTTTTAGAGAACATCACTTTTGTGCTCAAAGTTAAAGTCAAATGATAATGATATTAAAGCGGTTTCCAAGTATTTATTATAAATAAAGCGGCACGAAGTTCGCGGGATGACCTCTAGTAATGTCTAAGAATACTGTTTTTCCCGCGTAAATAATAGCCAATTGACCGGTTTATGAATTTAGAAATGTACAAAATCTCAACTGATTCTTTTCAATTATTCAAGGTTTTTAAGCTTCTCATGGCAAAAAGTTCTAGTTTTATGAAACTGCTATCAACTGATCATTACAAAAATTAAAATCAGAAACGAAAACTTGTTTAAGTGACGTATAAAATGGTTTAAGCGCGGTTTGAGATGTGGTTAACTTTAAATTCTCAATTCAGAAACCGGGTGTTATAATTTGCATGTGTGAAATAATTTCCTGCATTACCTAAAGTGAAAGAATTTTCATGCTCGGATCAGTATTTCCGAAAATTATCCTCTACAAACAAACAGGTAAAGTGAAAAACTATTCTTAAATCTTTATAATATCACTATAAATTAGCAACATTTATTGGATTACCAATATATAAGCAATCAAAACGTATTATAATAGACGGTGACGTTTTATATGAAAAAAAAGAAAAAATTGTAATACATAAATATTTAAAACTTAAATTCATGAAGGTCACATATCCACGTTCTGAACGTTGCATCACATATTGACTTTTCCTTGCATAATTATTATCATTCAATTTGCATATTGTACCGGTTTGACAGGTGGATCTTGTAGTATGTCTGATTAAATACTTGCTATTCATTTAATGGTAAGCAGCAAAACTTGTAAACAATAAAATTTTCTACAAATCCGAAGTATAATTGAAGAATTTCTGGCGCCACGGAAATCCCAAAGAACTGAGTTTACAGCCTCTGAATCCGTGATAGTAGTAATTTTGATTCTATTGACACAAACATTTAATTGTAGATCCTCTTTTAAATTGTTCTATAGAAGTAATCTTTCATATTATAAGAGAAAAGTAACAAAATATAAAATTTGCAAGTAGATCGCTGATGATTTGCATGACATATAAAAAAATCACCTAAGGAATAATTTAAGAAAGAATTTCAGTATTCCATATTAAATTTATTATAGTTGTCAGTGGTGTACAGGAGTATCGATAAGTCTATCATTTGCCACACTAAATTATAAATAAAAAATAAGTACCGTTAAAACTTTCCAGATCAAATAGGCGCAAGCACAAGGATTTTACAATTTACAGTGATTTGTCGTGTTTGTGATTTGTACAATGCTACTGATTCCGGAAGAAAATGTGTAACTCCAACCTACAATCGTTATTTTTTTATGTTAACAGAACTATATGCAATTCTATGTTAACAGAACTATGTACATTATAGTAAATAATATAATGGCTGCGGTCACTTACGCAATTATGTCTCGTCATAAATATTCTTAGCTTGTTATCCTGACACATTGTCAGGTATTTTATTATTATTATCCTCCTATTAGGTCAACAGTCATTATAAGGTATGAGGGTGACATTCACTGATTTATTGATTTCACGAGAACTGCATTAGATTGTTGATTTCAAGGTCTTGTTGTCAATGCAAGAAAAAATAAGGTTCAACAAAGTTTGACGATCGTGCTAAGTATTTGAAATGAGCATTTCAAATTTAAATTCGTGCTTTTGATATTTAAAAGAAATGTGGTTTATATTTATATTTAATGAAAATTGCTTAAAAGATCCACCATTGCATGGATTGTACATGTAAAGTCTATAGCGCTCAACTACAACATTTTATGACACAGTTCTTGTTACTAGATCTCAAAATAATAAATATAACTCTAACCATTGATTTCTGAGGAAGACATTGCACTATAATAATAACATTAGACTTCAGGTGATAGCACAATGGCAAAACACGTGTAGTTGAGATTCTATTGATATGCGATTATTACGTAAAAATAAATTTGAGGTCCTGGTACCCCGAGATGGTACTCAAAAGCTCGTGGGGTCAACTTATCTCGGGGTTTATGCACCAGTATATTGTGAACGCTAAATTGATCAAATTCATTAATTTATGAAACTCTAGCTAGCCTGATCTCAAATCTAGTAGCATTTGTATTATGAAAATCTAAACAAAAAAGGTATCACAACATCGGCCGGTACCCAAGACAATGTAGATAATTTATTCTCGTTATTGACGACGTTATTGAGGGTTGTCGTCAAGTTTAAGTTTTAGATGAGCGGTTTTTACTTACAGGTCATCCTCATGTCCATGTATGCAATGGGCAGCTGTAAGTACGTGTTTATTTGTGACCAGGGAGCCGCCGCAGAGCCATCTAGCGCCAGCACCGGTACGTCGCTTGTAGCCCAGCAGTGCCATCCAGGGGAAGTCACCTGTATGCCGAATTCTTATTTACCTTTCGGTACAGAAGTGAAAAAGAGGGTATGGCGCAGTCGTTAGCGCGTTTGGTCGTTAAGCAACTTTCGCAAGGGTCGGTCATGGGATGGGTGCCCATAAATCTCGAGTTCCTCCATGCTTCGGGACGCATGTTAAGCCGTTGGTCCCGACTACATCTGCGGTCGAAAACTCTCATCAATCCGTTCTGGACCCGCGTGGTGAGTCACGGCCCGTTTTCTCTATTATATTTAAATTAGAAATCAAATGAAAACTTTAATATGAAAATTATATGTCATAAATTACGTTGACACAGTTAAATTAATTGAAACTATCAAAATTAAATACGAAGACATTACTTCGCAAAATACGGATCTGTCATGATGATGTCTACGCTCACCAAGTTTAGCTTTGACTCCTCCGACGACCCTGCTGAACGAGGCGTTGCTGATGCCACACACTGGTGGTTCAGGCAGGGCGTCTACAAAATCGCTGCCTCCAATAGTTTTGCTGGTTGGGCTCGGCGCTGGCGTCGTCGTAGTGATAACTGGTGCTGGGGTAACTGGCGGTGCAGTGGGGATACCTTGGAGAGGACAGCATACCTAAAAATGTTTTTTTAAATACATATTACATAGGTACGATTTAAATAAGGATTGTTACAAAAACTATGTTGAATTGTACCAAAATCAAAATCATTTATTCAGTCTAGGTTGTCATACTTGAACATTTGTGAAAGTTGAAAGCTATGCCATCTGTTCATAAATCTACGGAGGCCTTGTATCGAGAAGAATCTCAGAACGGGCTGCTTTTTTCGCTTTGTTTTATTTTAAAGAGACAGATTACAGAGGTTTTAAATTTAAAAATGAGTTCATTAGACTATTAAAACATTTCGATCATAATATTAAAAAAATAACAATAAAATAATATATCATTTCGTTTGACAATCAATTCACATGCCGTGTTATACAAACTGATTGACAGTAATTAAATAATGTACAATATGTACAATAAATGAAAATGGACAAGAGTAGGTGGTCTAGAGTAGACTTTTCTTCATTCGTACATTCGTACCCATTCACGAGCATGACGCTTGGGCCAGCCATAGCTTCGCTCAAACATATTTAGCGAATGTATCGACCTATGCGAATAATGCGACTCATCATTTTCTTAGCATATTCTGCTTGCTTATTACGTCTACAGTTATGGGATGACCACATAACAAAAATGGAGTGGTGGGGACTTGGATAGTGGCTATTGTACTAGTGATAGTATTCTCATCAATGTTTAAGGTTTTAATTCTGTTACTTTTTACGTAATAATTGCATCTCGATACTCTCCAACTACTATTATTTTGCCATTGAACTGTCTACCTAAAGTCCAATGTAAATAATGTTATCTTAAAAATCAATGGTGACAGTCAGATAACAAGAAAAGTGTTGACTTTCCACAATGACGCGCAATATTCTTACAGGAATTATATAGGTACAGTCAAAAGCAGTATTTTTAGAACTATCCGGTATCGTATTTTCGAATTGTGAATTTTTAAAACATTTTTCTTTAAGATAACTAGCGATATGGCATTGTTAAAAATATTGGTTATATAATATTAGGGGCGACGACTAATTTTTCTTGGACTTTTTTAATTTTTTTGCATAATCAATTAATTACGGCGATACGTTGAGTTAAAATGTCTTTTGTACATTTTCTACAAAGCTGTGACGTAGCGAGCCCCCACTCTTCAATTTTAATGCCTGTTCTAAGGTATTCATTGTTAAATTGAAGCAAAAAATACGTATATTATAATGTTCTATTGTCTAAATGACGGATTAAATATAATTTATATTTTTTTAACTTAGCGTCATCCTAATTACTTATGATGTTAGCACCAAAGGCATCTCACCTTAGGATTGCTGCCATCAAAGCCGCAGTGTGCTCTTCTCAGTATCTGTACGGCATTCGCATTAGCTCTGGAGTCCTGCAGAATTCGCAAATACTTGGGACATTGCAGCAGGGATATGCAGTTGCCAACACCTTTCTCTACTGTCTGGCATGTCTGTTCTATAATTAAAGCATAAGTTAAAACCCAAACAATAAAAAAGACTTTATTAAACATGCATTTCTAATAGTTGGAAAGCTATGTTATTATCACAGTTTTATTCCTTATTGCAAAATAACTAAATATATACTTAATTATGTTGGCACAAACTATGCTGAAGGTTCTAATCGATCTTTAAACGTCTAAGATGTCACAGGAGTAACCTTATTATATTTTACTGGCTTATCCAGCCACGCGTTGCTGTGGATGGCAGAGATAAGTAATTGGGATAAAAACTACTATCTGAGTATCATATTTTTTATAATAATAATTTATTTCCAAAAAAGATTATTTCCCGTTTTCTGAATTGAGAATTTAAAGTTAAGCTGCACGTATATGTAGCTGTATGTATCTTATTTCAGTTTTTTTAATGAACAGTTCAGATAAGTAAGTTTAATAAAATTAGAACTTTTTGCCATGTGCAATGTAATCTTAAGTTATTGAAAATAATCAGTGCAGATTTTTTTTTTTTAATTCCGATACAGGCCGTTGCTGTTTTAGATCAATTAATTTAATCTACGCACTAGGCTTTATTCAATATTATGTTAGACGAAATTATAGATACATGTGTGTTTGATTGAAATAGTTTAGATATTTCTATTACACATACAAGAATAGTGCTAGCAAAAATATTTTTTTTGTTAAGAGTTTTGTATGACCCAATTACCTCTAATTCCTTTGTTTTTTGATAAGGAATAAAGCTGTAACGATTAAAAAGGATATTGAAAAATAGAAAATAAAATAAATCTCCGTCAGAAGACCTTGTAATGAGAAAAACAAGGTTGATTTCCAAAAGTATGAAATTACTTTCTATTCTTAATATTGCATAGTCTACATTACATTATAAGTTTACATCTAATAAAATGTCTTAATTCTATTCGCAAAGATTTCAAATAACAAACAGATAAGAAGCCAATCGAAAGGTGAAAAAGCAAAAAATAATAATGCATAGCAGGAAAGCTGGAAAATATTCTAGTTGCGAAAAACAAACAATTTTTAATTTGCAAAAAAATTAATACATAAGTACAGATTTGTTTATATTTTGTTTTTAATAGGAAAAATTGGTTTAATTTTACGAGGTTGTTAATGTTGGTTCGACGTGATGCTGTGTAAATTATGTGATCGAGTTGTTATAATTACGTAATTTCTAATGTGATACAAATTTTAATATTAATATTTTCACATAGAAGCTCAGAACAGCTAATTGAGAGAGTTAATATTAATAGTTACCCGTGTTAAAATTAATATGCGTTATACCGAGAACCTCATTATATTGTATCTTAGTATTTCATTAAAAATAAAGTAATAGGAAAATAGATAGTAGATGACACAAAGCAAGATAATAATCGAATTTCGATTTTAAGAATACAATATATAATTTAAGTAGGTATATTTTCATAAAAATCATAAAATTTAAAAAGATATTGCATTTATTTGAATTAATGAAGTTTGAAACTAACCTTATTCGTTAAGAGATTAAATTATTATACTATGACGTCATATGGTCATGGTATAATTATATGATCAAGCTATCGGTTTCCTCTCATACCAATTGAGTGTAATTTAACTGATTTCCACGAAATATACATATCACTGTAGTTTCCAATGCTTGTCACAAGGTTGACCACTAACTATGTGACCGGCGAGATTGATTTTTCATTGAGATCGACTCATCAATGCCACCACACAAATATGCTAAAAATTCAGTATAATTTCGGTATCACATATCAAATAGTTATAATGTGAAATTCGTGAATATTTTACAAATTGCGATAGATTTCAAAATTAGGCATTTAGCCTCCGGGTTCGACTACAAATATAGCAACACAGGCATTATTTATTATTTATATATTTACTCATTGTTTTATCAATATTTTCACTTTAATATAATTATTTGCAATGTATTAAGGGAGGAGCCTGCCTCTCGTAACACAGGATAACCATATATGAGAGCTGTGCACATTTTGTACTGAAAAAAGTGTATAAAATAGATATATTTTCATTTCATTTCAGCAAAATCATCGTCAAATCCGAGAAGTTATCATAACTTTGAATACTTCATATGAATGGTGAATATGAAAATTAAATTCTATGCTTAACTTATTTCCATCGCTATAGCTTTAAGATACGCGATAGGTTCCAACATTTTAGAATCGTAAATCTTATTTCCTAATCAAATATTACATTTTCTTTACAAAAACCGACGAAGTGGCTATCTTTTATTATTTTTGGAAAAAGGTTTTTACCAAATAAATCTAATTACAAGGTCCTGTACTGATGCCGACGATATTCTAACTGAATACGTACGAATTGAAAACCGGAAGTGCCGGTTTTTAATGGCCTCGTCTTGTCGGTAAAAACCGACCCGCAGGAGGCGACTGTAACCTTGATAGACGACGTTTGCAATTAAGTGTTAAACTAAACTTATATAACTTTGTTTAAAGGTTTATTTTATTTATAGTTAATAATTAAAACACGTGTATTGACGCGGGGATTTTTGCAAGATCACATGACTTCTATATCAATTCAAATTGGTACATCATATTTCGCAAGTTTTCTAATGTTATGTTTTCTTTAAATACGTTTTTAATGATGATATTTTTTATTCATAACCTATGATGGATTTGATTTATTTATTTAGTTAGTTAGACATATTTGAATATGACTAAATATTAATTAATTAACTCAGTGATATGGTAAATTAATTGAAAAGCATATTATTTATAAAGAAATTGTAAATCTAGTATCAATTATTTAAATATATCCTCAGTACACGAATTTGTATCTGAACTCCTACAATGATCATATTTTTTGAGTGATAAAGGATCTTTAAAAATAAATATATTACTTAAGCGCTCTTCACTTTTTTTTTACTTTTGATTAAGATGAGATTTTTTTCTAATTATGATATTTAATAATTGTTGCATTATAGAAAAAATATCAATATAGTATTACGAATGCAAAATTTATAATGCATAATATAAAATAAATCATTACTTAGGTAGTTAAAAACACAAAAATAACGGAAAGTATACAAGGAAAAAATATTTTTTGATATATTAAATATTATTTTTATAGCATGATTTATACGTATAATTAAGGCTACAAATAAACCGATTATTATACCGTGTAGTCATAAAAATATAAATAATAGCGTTTAGTTTCGTAATAACCTTGACCGTTCAATCGATAAGCGAATTATAGTATATAATTGTTGTAATTTTCTATAGGAAACCGTTTATGTCTAAAGAAAATAAGAAACTAAAACGGTTTTAGCATTGAAAATAAGTTGTTTGCTATATTTTTTTGAGAGGAGGCTTCATTAGGGGCTATTATATTTGATCTATTTCGCATGCACAATATTGTAGGATACTATGCCGGCATATCTTTAATTACTTATTAAAAAAGATACTGATAAGTTCAAATCTGAAAAAGATACTGGATTTTATTGAAGAAAAATACTTAAACTACTCTAGCCACTGAGCTACCCAGGACCTAACAGGACTGACGAATCTTTCAAGTACTTGTCATTTTTTGTCGCTATTACAGAACGTTTTCATGAATGTTCAAGCAATCCACCCAAACAGCCGAAAGAAATATTTTTGCAAATGTTTAAAATTTCGATAAAAATGAAAATTTGTTCTGATTATTGTTATGGAACAAAGTGGAGTTTTTAAGCATTTTTCATTAAAAGTATCCATTAGGCTGTTTTTTCGTATCGCCTTTCATAGAGAGACATTGATGAATAAATGGGTGTACCTGTTATCTGACTAGGTATCCCCCTTACAGTGGTGAACCGTGGTGGATTCACCCTAAGGCTAAGACTCGGGGCTAGGTTGGCCAGATATTAGAGTCGATCAATAATGGCATATAACATTGTACGTTAAAAGCTGAATGATAAAATATTCTTTCTGGTAGGCATATTGAGTTAAAATCACATAATATTTAAGACATCACTAAATAATGATCTCTCATTTTTAATCTTTATTATAGAAAAAATATATATATGGAAAACCTTTGAATCAAAAATAATTTCAACAGACTTTATTTGATCCAGCTTCCCTTCGCTAATCATCATTAGCACTTTTACGTCCCCAATGCAGGGGCTAAGGCCTTCCTTATTGATGGTTATGACCCTCCACGCTGGTTCAATTCGGATTGGAGGATAGTAACGACTGCAAATTCTACCGAGACCAACAGCTTAATGTACCTTCTGAAGCATAGAGTAGATAGAGATAATAATTTTTGGTGACTAAATAATAACATTTTTTTTTTGGGAATATGACAGTAGTTTTCCAAGTTCAATAATAATATAATTATATCTAATCATTTTCGTCTTCATCGAAAGTTTATAATATTTCTAACGGTCTATTAGGTGACATAGCTACAATTATTTAAAGAACGTTCATAAACCGAAAGAAAAGTAATTAATAAATTGTTTAGTCTAGTTAGAGTCAGTCGCTCAGTTGGAAGAGCTTTCGCCCGAATGGGGAGGAATCATTGGTTCGATATCAGCACTGTGAGGTATTTTTTTGTTTACAAGTATCTTTCTTTCATCATTGAAGAAGATAAGAAATTCATTGCGTTCGTTCCTCCATTCGAGTACAAATAAGAGTTATAATGTCAATAAAAAGAAAAATAATTAAGATTTGTTAAACTATTTTTCATTATCTGATTTAAGAGGAAATAGAATAGATTTTCCATTAAAAAGATAAACATTACTATAAAAATATTAGCATTTAAACCTATAGAACTGATAATAAATTAAACTTGTTTGAATGTAAAAGAAAATAAAATTCTGTTATTAAAGTAAATTATTCTCAAATTAATTTCAGTAAAATCATTACTCAAGAAACAATGTCCATAATATATGTTTAGACATACAGGATTAGAATTAATAATAAATTGTATAGGTTTGCATAAAACATTCCAAGATTCTATTTTATAACTCTTGATTCGTACAGGAACAAAATTATCAAGAAAATGAAAATGTCCACAAAAACTTACGTTCCGTTTATGAAGATATTAATATTTATTGATTTCTTATATTTTCACGTGCACTATTCATAAAAGAAACAACTTTTAAACGGTTTCATTGCATTTTCATTTTTCTCTTATTAAAGTTTCTGACCCTTTACAGGTTTCGTGTTCACTCGCGTTAGGGAACATGTAGCTAACGTTAAGCATAGGCGCGAAAATAAATCTGCAGTGTGTGAACATGCGTAAAAAGGACCTAAGCATTTCATAAAATTTGACAATTAAAAATTCTTGTAACCGAACAAAGATTCGTCCCTAGATGATACGCGAGACTATTGAAATTTAAAAAAAAAATCACTAATTTTAATGGAGATGAAGGTTGGACACTTTTTTTTATAAATATACATGAAATATATCTAAAAATAAAATATCACGAATAAAAAATGCAATCCACTTTTCTTGTCGGAGCTTGTTTCGCCAGTTCTTCTCAGACAAGACTCCCAAATTTGGAACTGGTGGTAGCTTACAGTTGCTAATGTATTTTTTTAAATAATTTAAAAATTACATAATAAATTGTATGTGAATGTGTCCAACAGTATTGTTTTGAAGGTAGCTTAATACAAATTCGAAATATACAAACTTGATAAAACTATTTAAAAGTTATTTCATTAATAATAATATTTATTAAATCGTAATGTTATAGGTATCACGAAATTTTACTTTATTTTATAAAAGTTAGTCCCATTTCGAATATGTGTCATTTTCATCAAAGTTGAATGAAAACTGTTACTTGAATGAATTGAAAAAAGAGAAAAAAAAATGAAACAAAGAAAATAAATACTGCTGATTTTTGTATGATTTTTCTCAGTGCAAGATCTACGATACTATATTTCATGAACGATTTTATCGGTATCTACTTCTAAAAGAGACGTTTAAACTTGTTAATTGATTAGTGAAAATAGAAAATGTAAAAGTTAGTGACTACATAAACCTGTACCAAGTTACACAAAAGTGAGTGTAAAAAATAATTAAAACATTACGGAATATTCCCGCCGAGCCGAAATTAAAGTTGTTCCGTTTCTCGAACGTCGGCACAGGAGTCAACTGCGGCAGTTCAGTCTGTTGTCCGAAGTTTACTGGTGAATTGTTCGAATAAGCATCTCCATCACTGATTTTTCCTTGTTGTCCATCATTAGATGGATCAGGCTCATTAAAATTGTTCACGAAGTTTACTTTAGTGGAATCTGACGTTGGAAATCCTACTTGACCACCTTGATTTTGTTGTGTATTTTCTTTATTCTGTTCAAACTTAACATTTTGTCCAAACGGAACGCTTTGTCCGAAAGGAACATTTTGTCCAGATGGGACATTTTGTCCGAATGGAACACTTTGTCCGGATTGATCATTTTGTCCGAACGGAACACTCTGTCCGAATGGTACATTTTGTCCGAACGGAACACTTTGTCCGGATTGAGCATTTTGCCCGAACGGAACACTCTGTCCGAATGGTACATTTTGTGCAAACGGATTATTTTGGCTGAACTGGTTTGTTTGACTGTCTTGACCAAATTGGTTAGGATTATGTTGTGTGTTCTGTTCAAATTGATTAGGATTTTGTTGCCCCTGATTCTGATATTGATTATACTGATTGTCTAGTCCATACTGATTATTATTGTATTGATTTTGTCCATATCCATTTTGTTGGTGATACTCATCTGGTCGTCTGTTGTTAGTTATGCCAGGTTTTTGTTTGAAGGGGTACACGTATTCTGGGTTAGTGTTCTGGTTCTCAGGCCTCAAATGTAGTATGCCGGCAAGTTGTGCCGTGATCCGACTAGGATCAGGTAAGAAGTTAAGTCCAAAAGATCCATCTTGTCGACGTTCTTGACGTGAAGGGAAGAAACCTAACAAAGTTTATAAAAACACATTGTATCTTTATGCTTACAATTGTAAATATATAATTAATTAATTTGTAGTTTCAAGACACTAGAACGATATATTTTTAATAACTTAATTTAATCGGATCTCGGGTATTTTCTAAATGTCGTTATAAAGGTATACCTCTTAAGTCAGTTATACAAATAAATTTAAATAAACACATACAAGGAAAGTACTAATTAATTTTTCCTATTCTTAGAAAGCTTTATTTTCTAAAATCTTGTGTTGGAGAAATATTTGATTTGTTGAACAACTTATATATAATATTTTAAGCTAATTATTTATGTCACTAGTGATAATTACATTTCAAAACTAAGTTTATAATTAGTACCTATATAAAATAATAAGTTGAACAGTTACAAAAGTACTCTAAGTTTTTTTGTAGTATAACATTGCAATAAATGCGAGGTACGACTTCAGATACCTAATGATATTATTATTTTCCTCATTCAATTGTTTCTATTAGATATTTATAATCGCAGGGGTCATGGAGGCATATTGAAAGGGAACCAGTTTATTTTTTTATTTCGAAAAATATTATAAGCTTATCTTCTATGCCGTGGGAGAGATAGGTTGCTCCATAAACATTTATTTATACATAAATTTGTGTTTTTTTAATTATGTAGGTTCTAATTCAGACATGTCATTGAGCCAAAATTTAAAGTACAATACGGTAAGGTCTAGAAATTGATATATATATAACATTGAGTTTTGTTTTCTGTTGCCTACTCAAATTACTGGTTACCTAAATAAAGTTTGCTGTTTTACGTAAACACATTAAACTGGTTCGCAGATTGACAAAAAACCATCTGTAACGGAGTCGATGACATTTACAAGTCACGACTGACCGCCACAGTGTCAACATTGTGTCAGCAACGTATACAATACACAATTGGTATAAATTATGAAAATCCGTGTGCGTAATGATTATGTGAGAAATTAGGGGAGATCCCGTATCATATATTTCATGATCATCAGTTTATTAATGTACCCAATGCTGAGACACAGGCCTTTCCTATGGCTGGGATCGTATAGGGAGTCAAATATTTGGTATCGACTTATCGATTTAAACTGTGATTTTATTCTAATAAATGTAACGGGCAAAACTTGAACAAGACACAAGACAACGTCTCGATGCTTTAGAGATGTGGTGTTATCTGTATTTGCTGAACAAATGGCTTTCCGGCACGTTGTAGTGTCGCGGAAATTAATGCGATTTGTCAAAAATCGCACTGTCGAATATCCCCGGCTTTTGCGATATCATAGAAATCAACTGTATGACCGAAGCTTGGCCAAAGGCATCTAAAGTGATAGCGGTAATTAAAAATTATAAAGTTTTCTTAACGAGAAAATACAAGATACTCAGAGATGGGGCTCAAACCCATGACCTTTCGCAATCCGGACGACTGCTCTAACCGTTGAGCTACTTAGGACCTAAAAGGGCTGACGAATTTTTCAAGAACTTTAAAATTTTCGCTTCTAACGAGTATAGCATTGTGAATTCAGAATTGATCAAATATAATAATAATAAAGTTAGTGAGTTTGGATATTACAATAGTACCTAATGATGGCGGTTGGACACTTACAGGTGGATAAAGATGGTTATTACAGTGATCCCGCGAAAACAATAGGTCACGTGGCCATCCATCCAAATGACGGGTGGATGATATTAGAGGACACGCAGGTCGTAACTGGATGGAAAGGGCATAAAACCGCCAGACATGGAAGAAACTGGAAGAGGCCTATGTCTAAAACTGGACACTGATGGGGTGACTATGATGATCATGATAATGATTTATTCAGTTAATTCATACAACAATGACAACAATAAAGAAAATTACGCATCTCAAGTTTCCCCTTAAATCTAAGAACGTTCAACCACCCAAATACCATAAAATATCAAAATAAAATTTTATAATTTTTTAAATAATAAAATTAAATATAATTATTTAAAATACATCCACAAAAATAAAACATCTAATAAAAAAAATTAATGATATCAGTTTTGAAACAATTTTTTGCCGTTTTTACATCATTCGATTACTAAGTAGCTGTTTAAATATAGTGACTTCACTCATTCTAAATTAGCCTTGTATGCTGTTGTTATACTTAATTGAGGTTGTTCGCCGGTTTTTTAAATGAACACGTTCGTAGTTTATTACAGACGCTAAAATGGAAAATATTATTAATGAAAAATGCTTAAGAAATCCCCTTTTGGACTAGGGACAAGGGGGATTTTTAACCATTTTTCATTAAAAATTAAAGAAGTTGGTATTATAAATTCAGATTTAGCCGTATTTTTGGTACATGTCATATGTGATTATGATATTCGTGATAACTCGGCCAATTGTGAACCGATTTGAACTTTTTTAACCTTTTTTGCAACTGAACTTAGTAATGTTCCTACTGCTGGTGCAGCCGGGACCAACTGCTTAACTTGCCTTCCGATGCACGAAGGAGTTCGAGATAATACAATTTTAGTCACCCATCCTATGACCGGTCCTTGCGAAAATTCCGAACAAACGGAACACAAGAGCCGCTGCGTCATCGAGCTCTAATAATTTAATTTAATCAAATTCGAAAAAGGCATACTGAATGTTATTTTTGAATGTTTAGTTAAGTTAAAGTCACAGATACACATGAACTATTTAAGTCTTTTAATGCGAGTCGCCTACATTATTTAATTTAATTATTCAATTGAACGAGTTCTTATCATTTGCTTATACTGGTTTTAAGGAGCGTGGAATTTAAATATAACTTCTCCATGAAAATTGCTTTTGTAAATAAATAAATGCATAAGAACTACAAACGTTTAGATACCAATTTTTGTGATCCCAAAGTGAGGTGTTAAAGTAACTTTATGGATAATAAAATAAATTATGATGCCATCATAATTAAGAAGATAAAAAATATTTATACTTTGAAATATAATTATGGAAAAGGTAACGTTTTGAGCTTTTTTGTGTCATTTTCTTTCGTAATAAAATTGAAATAGAAATATTAGTTTTTAAAGTCATCATGCATTTTAGTAAATGTCATTTTTAAATTAAATTAATATTTTAGAGGTTTAAGAAAGGGATATACTACACTAAATATAATTGAAATATTTTTTCAAATAATCCCAAATTAGCATCCGCACGTTAATATAATATTCAACAAACGCAAATGACTCAAGGTCCGATGAATATATCTAGGTTTTTCAATCTTCTACATATTAACACGCAAGGTATGCGCATAAACTTAATTGAGTTAAAAAAAATGTTTTATTTAATTACTCATAAATAAAAGAAAATAATAACTACATTTTAGACAACATCATACATTGCATTGCTCAGGTACCAAATCAAAACAACATCCAGATCCGAGACAATATGGAATAGTTCATTTCATATATTGAGCCAAACAGGCATGGAAGCCGGGACTTCAGTGTAACTCAGAAGAGCTAATAATGGAGGCAGGGGGGGGGGGGATTACTGACTAGCTTACTTTCTTTGAAGACCCAAATGATTAAATTAGATTTGGAAAAGAATAAAATTTTGATTAAAAATAATACTTAAATTAATAATATGAAAACGTAAGTAAGTTATTATATTTAAAAAAATCCTTATATTTTTCATCAAGCCGGACTTTTGAACACATTGTACGAGTAGGTAGAGAAGGTATTATCTGTTTTGGGTATTTTGGTAATCTGGTACATAAAAATTGGGCTTTTTTGAGAATAACCACTAGGTTTTAAAAAAGATAATATAATATCCTAGTCAATTTCAATTGTCGCTACGAAAATGCAACTCTAAATATAGTTAATATTAAATATAATTTTCTATCAAATTAAAAACGCGTCTTATTTTCAATTTCTTAAACAATTTTTATGAGAAGGCACATGCGATTTGAATAATTGATGAATATAAGATCTTTGGTATTAACTTTTATGAAATTTTAACTGCAAAATATTACGATGTATTTTAAACGTAGTAAAAGATCTTTATTACTTTATATTGACAGCATAAACTACTTCTGTGTTTAAAAAAGAATTTCAACTATGAACTTTTAACAAAAGCGAATTATACGTTTCTAATGAAATTACATAATTGTTGGTATACTGAGTAAATAATCTATTCTCAGTTCTATCAAACCGGTTTAAGGAAAATCAACTTAAAACATTTTTTTGCGATTAAAGCTATAAAAAATGTGTCTGATAGGTAAGACGTGTTTTAAAACTACGGTAGCTTCAAGCTGAAAGCTAGCTGTATTATTTGTCACGTAAATATTAACTCACCGTATTGACACGACACAAAACTGACACTCAGACACAGACACAGAGCAACAAACACTTTAGCCATAATGCGTACACTCATTTTATATTCGATTTGCGAACTGTTATTTTATTGGCGGTAGAAGACCGTGCGTACGTCGCGGCCGGCCGCTGGTCAAATGCGGATGATCTTGACCGCGATGGCAATTTAATACTGACCGTGGTTACGCGCCGTATGTATTAACCAAGGGGCCTACCATCAAGCTTTAAGTCTTAAATGTTTTAAAAGAAGAAAGGCGTTAATCGGTATCTTATCGTTAATATATTTTCACTTCTTATTGGATTATCTGTTATTCTTTAATTACCTGCTATCATTGAACCTACTGTTGGTAATTTTTAATTTTGTTTGGTCGAAAATTCGTCAGGTTTTGAATCTGGAGCCTGTGGTATCAATGACGGATTTTGGATCCTTTCCTAAATATGAGGGTGCTTCGCATCCAATAGGCCCCGTATCTACTGGACTGATAAATACAATTCTTTCACCTGTGGGAGCTATATTATAAGCTGATAACTTAGACTATATAATTTACATGGACATAGTTGTTGATATTGGATTTTAAATTTTATATTTCAAATGTTCTTTTTTCTTGAATATGTGTATAGCTCGAAAACAGAGATATAACTGAAAACGCAAACTGCATACGTTGCGGCTCGCGTTTCTAATTTCACAAATCACAAATTTTCAGACATTGCGAGCCCTTACTACTTGTCCCTCCTTATATTGGCAATGCGGTGTTTTGTTTAATTTCACATATTTTATACTGAATAAACCAATTTAACTGTCAACTTATAATCTCAACGCACGTAAGCAAAGATTTTTATTTATTTTCAAGATTTCGTACCTCAGCAGGAAAATTTGAAACCCATTTAAGATCGCTTGGTTGGATGTTAGAAACAAAGGAAGTGCTTGAGTTTACTCCACAAACAACCATTCGCAATCGGTGCGACTGTTCCACCAACGGGGACTTTAGTTAAACGTTTGTCGAGCAAGTGTTCTCTCTAAATTTTTTAATAAATAAGGAACTCCTTTTTTTAACGCGAGGGAAATGCAACCTTAAGGTTATACTAGGGCTCTCCGACCCCGTGCCCGCCTGAAAAGGATAGGCTTCACCTAGGCTGGCCTACCTGGTAACTGGTCATGGTTATGGCCATTGAGGACCCGCGTAGTGGATCGTAACCATTCTCCGATTCGATTCGGTTTCGGTTTTTCGAAAGACATAGGGAACTTTAATAGACTGATAACGATGTCCTTATAATAATATAATTATTTAATTTAAAGTATTCTTAGAGCTGATGGTAGCCCCCCATATCGGAACTAGTGTAAGATCGACCGTGATAGACGGACCTTACATTGTTTGATATCTTAGTCACTTTCATTTGCACCGTGTGGGTAGTTAAAAACCCCGTGTAAGTATATAGACAGAATCACTCATCAAATTAGTTCAAAATCAAAGAAACATGTCCGATAAACTATTGTTTTAGATTTCCATAATACAGGTGTATTAGCTACTTGATTAATTTATGACGTTGTGTAATATATTACTTTTATCTGTCTATCATCATTATCACTAGTCTATTAATGTTCCCACTGCAGGGAAGGACTTAGACCTTCCCTATGGATGGAATGAAAATGGATTAAAACCGAATAGGGAGAATAAATGATGAAATGTGGATTACGTACGACAAGAACGTGCAAAAAAGGTCGTGGTCAAAGGTTGGTCAGGCTGCACAGACTTTGGCGAAACCCGGGTTAACTCGTAACAAGGTGACGGCGTGTATATATGGTGGGATTGGAAAGGCATTAATCATTATGAACTGTTACCGCCAGGCACGACCATTGATTATTACTTACCAGTGAAAGGAAATGTTTGCATTAGTTAGATTGTATACTTTGCTTTGCTTTTTGCAAGTGATAATAGCACAAAACGGCATTTTTTATAGAAAAAAACTGTAAAATCACCACTCGACGATTGACGAACGACTGACAAACGTAAAACCGAGGAAAGGGCGTCATATGAGTAAAAGCGCATATGCCAGCGACGCGTGTCCCGCCCACTTACTACTTCTAATCTCTCTCTATGTTCTGTGCCCTAGACTGTCATTTCATTACTTCGTCGTCAACTCTCACGCTGAGAGCTGAAAATCAACAGACACGGTTCCATGTAGTCTCATAATCATCAACCAAAAAGTAGTGATACGTAGACCATACTCGCGTCGCGGTCGCTTACTTATCATCTGAAATAGTTGAGGAAGACGAGATACAGGAAAGGCCGGCTGCTCTCTAAAGCGACACAACATCAGCAACCAGCGCCATACAGGTCAATCAGTCAGTCATTTCGTTTTCCCCACCAAAAAGAAAGCTCATTTTTCTTTGTTCTTTTCCTATGTTGTATGTATTTTATTACAAGCTAAGAATATAGTGCATTTCAAAAAGCCTTATTACACTCACTTATGTTTATTTTTTTGTGACGGCTGTAACGGTTACAGGTGACCATAAATTACTTGATTAAATTTAACAAATAAAATTACCTATCTATATTAGAAGTTGTTGAAATCGAATCAGTATCTTATTTTAAACACACTACTTTCATGATGTGCGTTAATTAACCTATTAGTGCATTTTGTATTCAGCGAATATATTCATTCTCCTTAGCTTTCACCAATCACGATTGCGGGAAAAATATAAAGAACGGATTATATCAACAGTTGTATTTACTTTCATAAAAATATTTCATTCGCTTACATATCTATTTATTAACTAAATTATTAATACTTAAGTAGGTGTACATAAATTACAAAGTTCATTTAGTGAAAAAACTAGCGAGCAAAATATTTTAAAATGTGTTAAATATTATAAATATGAAATAGAAACGAATAGCTAAAAGGTAATAAGACATTTTAAACATATTAACAATACGTTTATTAAGTTTATTTCTTTTAATAAATCATAATATCTAGGATACACAAAAGTTCATTTACACATGACAATCATCAGATTTTTTTACTTATCCTTGCTTCTTATATTTCCGCACACACTACTTATATAACCAATTTTGATTTTGGTTTAGGCTCGCATATTTACATTTTAATGATCACACTTTATTTAGAGACCACGGAGCGTTCAAAGAACGTATTAAGAAGTTTGTGTTTTCTCTGTATTATTTATTTTTAAGACAATGATTCAACCGAGCCTAAAAGTTTCTCTTGTATCCATGGTATAAAGTGCGTGACCCGGGTATAAATCCCGGGGTATCCGGGCTCACCGCACCTCCGCCCGTATCCTACCACGCCGATCTGATAAAATGCAGTTTTGAAGTTCTCCGTTAGCTGAAAATAAGATGATTAGAATGTTTTATTTGATATATAGGAAACATTATATATACCTATCAATTGCACTTTTAATAATCACCAAAGGTTATATAATATAGTAAAACGATCACTAAAATATTCTTAATGAAAAAGGTTTGAAAAATTCACTTTGTCCCTGGCACTCTGAAATGACACTCGAACTCGAAGCTAGCTCAGTGGTTAACAGGACTGACGAATTTTTCAAGCACTTCTATTATAGAGCATATTTTCATCGATGTTCAGGCAGTCCACCAAAACAGCCGAAAGATATATTTATGAAAATATTTAAAATTTCGATAAAGATGATAATTTGTTCTGATTATTATATATATTATTATTTGCATTATATTCATGAATTTTTCATTCACAATTCTATACAGCTAATGCTATATTGAAAAATAGTCTTAATGAAAAATTCATAAAAAATCAACTTTGTCAGGGACAAAGCACTCTGAGATGGAACACGTACCCATGTCCTTTCGCAATCAGGGCGACTGCTCTTACCACTGAGCTACCCAGGACCTAACAAGATCTCTATTTCTAAAATTCAGTTTTTTTTTCTGCTGATAATAACACTCTTTTTAACACGATAAAAGAATAAATATGCGATACACTTTGTAGCAAAGGCTTGAGAGATTTATCAATAAAAGGATTATTGACAATATTTAAATGTTAAAGTATACAGAGATATAAAAATATTTTTCCTGAAATCTTAGAGATTAGACTAAAGGCAAAGCCGCTGGCGGAAAGCTAGTGTTACATAAAGATAAACTTACAATAGGCTGCATGAGTGGTCCCCCGCTGTCTCCCTTGCAGGCGTCCCTGCCACCGCTTTTGTATCCGGCGCACAGTGTACCCTCACCGATGCGTACCTTGTACTGTGTGTACGCCTCCGCACAGATCTCATTGCTCACCACAGGAACCTGGACTGCTTGAAGGTGGACTGCTGCTGGACCCTCTGTATAGGTAGGGTATTTTATAATCACAATATTTTCAAAATTGGCCTATTACTTCAATGCTATTATTATTATAACTACCATGACGCTAATGATCTAAGTAATATAGTCTTATATTTTAAGATGAATGAAATTTGATTTATTAATGTTTATGCTATGGATAGAGGCGTATTTTAAAAAAATCGACGGTCTCCGATAGGACAGGTGCGATAAGAAAATTATCGACTACATAATATAATGTATTTTGTTGCGCACTTATAACGCAATAATATTAATCTTATTTTTAATTTAAAATTAAATTTTAAATAAAAGTTAATTTATACAATTTTACCGACAAAAAATACACAACATTACACTTAGTTTTAAAAAAAATACTGAGATATTTGGTTAAGTTTGAGACAGATAAGTATTTGTTTCATTGTAAAAAAATATAAAAATATATATGTTCATATTATGTCTTTATTTACCGAACGCTATCAGGCCCCAGCCAGCAACAATGGGTGTGTGATTCTCGAAGGTCTGACTTCTCTCCTTATTATTTTTTGGAATGCAAATTGGTTTTATGAAATCTAGAAAAACGGAATAACAATTGAATTAATTTATAGTAATATTTAGGTAATTTTCATTTTATAAATAAATGAATTGGTTACCACTACAATGCAATATTAAAATACTAATTTGATCTGGTTGTGGATTCGAATCCTCTTTGCGGCTCCTGGGACTGGTGGAATTTTTTAATTATTTTTGTTTAAGATCTATTATGAATGTCAAATTGATCAAATTTAATATTTAGTACTTTCTATATTTCTTTGCTTACCTGTAAATGTGACCTCTTTCTCCAACACGAGGATACCTATGTCGTTATCGTAACTGTTGGGGCTATAGTCCTCATGCTGTATCTTCGTCTTGATGGGCACGTCTATGGGGTTAGCACCATCGTCGTCTCGTTCCATGTTTAACTCGCCTAAACGGACGAGAAACCTGGACAGTTGTTTAAATATTCAAGGTCAGGTGTAATATTGTATTCACTTATTTATTTTGAAGCTTGGTCATAGAAAACAAAAATAATACTGTTTTTATGTGATATTTTTTAAACTATTATATTTTAAATGACTTAATCCCTTCTTTTCACATATTTAATGTTCTTTGCCAATTTCTAATATACATTGGCATAATAATACTTCACCATGTTTGTTTTTTGGCGTATAGTGGCATATGTCGGCATAATTCAGCCAATATTGATCTTTATTTTTCCAAAATACTTGATGTTATAATATTAAAAATGATCGCATCTAATGGCAATTCGCAAATATTGGCATACCACAAGAAAATAGGGATAATAAGTATGTTGGGATATAAGACAATATGTTGCATTAGGATTGCCCTGATCACACATCCAAAGACCGTTTTATATTAAGGTTGAACCTCCGATCGTCCGTTGAATTTAGATTGAACTCAAAATCTAAAATAGACCTACTCATAATCATCACACTCTTCAAAAAACTATGCCAAAATGACACGAAATAGTGACTGTAACTCACAGGTCCTCCTCATGAGCGAATATACAGTGTGCAGCAGTGATGACATGCTTCCTGGTGACAAGTGAACCACCACACATCCACAGAGTAGTAGGCCCGCGACGGAACCTGTAGCCTAGTAACGCCATCCAGGGGAAGTCACCTGAAATACCAAATTGTCGTGAACTTTGTTTACACATTTATACACGGGAGTTATACTGAAAGTTAATAGAAAAGGTGAGTCATAGATAAATCCAAAAGGTCAGTAGATGAGAAGGGGGCGAAGATTTTTGTTAATATTTCGAATTAGGAACTCTTTGGAAATCCGGGGGCATACCAAAATCTTCTTATAATAATGTCTAATCCGTGCAACACTACGGAACAATAACGGTGTGCCGCTCACTACACGGATTAAGCACTGCTATATGAGCTCAAAGTTTAAGCCCTTGTAGTTTGTGCAACATAAATAAAATTTGTAATAATTTAGTTAATCATTTTACACATATTACTGGCAATTTAATAAGTTAGTCATCCGCCGAAATGGATTTGAATAGAGACAACTCAGAGGAATTCCTTTCATGAACTCTGTTTCGTTTTATTTTACTATTTTCATTTTTCACTTTCTTAGATATTAATAGGCTAATGGCCTATTAATATCCCTACTTATTGGACATATGCCTACCCTAAATAATCAAATATTTAGTTCAGTTTTTGCGTAAACTAGCTTTCCGCCAGCGGTTTCGCCCGCGTGGTCTGTTAAGTGGGATAAAAACTAGCCCCTATATTATTCAGAGCTTAGAATTTAATTTAGTAATTCATTTGGATGAGATTTCATATCATGACACTAATATAATTACAACAATGACAAATTGATTGGTAAAAAATGGTTACCATTGTACGTTTTAATTCCTAATGCAAACATTCACTCCCGTTTCATCCCTTTATTTGTTGTTTATCGGGATAAAATTTAACCTGTGTACACCGCATATAATATAGCTTTCTGTAGGTGGAAGAACTTTTAAAATCGGTTCAGTGGTTTCGCAGTTTATTCGATGCAAAAATTTTTCTTCTTCATATTAATAATAATAGTATAAACAAGATAAGACTTATAAAGAACTAATACTTCAATATCTTACCAAGGGTAGCATTGTCCCCTCCTACAACTTTGCCAAACGATCCGTTGCTCATACCACACACGGGTGGCTCAAGTAACGCCTCTACAAAGTCTCCACTTTCTCTTCTGTCGTTGGAGCTGGGTTTTGGTGATGTCGTGGTGGCAGTAGCTTGTCGTGGACAACACACCTGTGGAGTACGCTAGTCAGTTTGGTTTGTAAATCTCCAGTAATACAAAGAACTAGCCAACATCCCAACATTGTCATAAAACAAAATTTAACTACATATATGCTTCATTAAAATAAGATTTTTAAAAGCATTTATATCTTCTGAAACTTTATCTACCACTCATTCCTACATTCCAATAATTAATTTATCAACAATAACCACACTTTAAATTTCTCTCATCTACGTATGATCTCTCTCCTCGCTCTTCTAATAACTATCGATTTTTCATCCCAATCTCACGAAAGTTCTTAGAAAATCAAAAACTGATTACATTAGCCAGTTATTAGTTTTATTATATCTTTTCAAAATATTGTCCATTCACGTCAATACACCGCTGCATGCGATGGAACCACTGGGAAAAGCACTTTGCCCACTCGTCCTTAGGGGTCTCTTCAATGGCATCGCGATACGCAGCCACCGCTTCTTCAGCATTCATAAACCGCTTTCCTTTAAGTTTTTCTTTAATTTTTGGAAATAAATAAAAATCACAAGGCGCGAGGTCGGGGCTATACGGCGGGTGACCCAGTAATTCAACGTTTGATGTCGCCAAATAGTCGATCGTTCGCTTGGCGGTGTGCGACGAGGCGTTGTCGTGGTGAAGGAGGATCCTACTGCGAGGTCGTTTCTCTCGAACTTTTTCCAAGACAAGTGGCAAACAATTGGTAGTGTACCATTCTGCAGAAACTGTTTTTTGATCCTCTAACACAATTGTTGCAAAATGACCTATCCTTCCAAAGAACGAGGCCACCATTTTTTTTCCCGCACTTCGATCTCTCTTCACTTTAGTTGGCAACTCCTCGAAAGGAAACACCCACTGAGCAGATTGTCTTTTGGTTTTAGGATCATAACAGTAAATCCAGCTTTCGTCACCTGTTAGTATGTCGAACACAGCATTTGAGTCACCTCCGTTAAATCTTTCAATCATTTTACGACACCAATCCACACGATGGAGTTTTTGAGCCTCAGTCAAATTATGAGGTATCCACCGGGCGCAAAGCTTCCTGACCGCTAAATGTTCGTGGAGGATTTTGTGCACTTGACTCATACCGATGCCTAAGCTTGTCCGAATCTGTTGATAGGTCACTCTTTTGTCAGTCTCTATCATACGCCGCACAACACAGATGTTATCTTCAGTCGTCGCCGTAGAAGGCCGTCCCTCACGTAAATCATCAGTGAGATTAGTGCGACCACGTTTAAACTCATTAAACCAGTTGTAAACAGTCGCACGAGATGGGGCTTCATCGTGAAAGGCCAATCGTAGTCTATCATAACTTTCTTGTTGACTTAAATGACATCGAAAGTCATAAAAAATCATTGCACGAAAATTTTCTCGTGTTAAATTCATGATGACGTGACACAGACAATTTTCAATTTGCCGCCAAATCGTAAAACAAATGACAAATTAATGAAATATATACTCAGTAATATTGGCAAAGAGTTATATTTTCAAATTTTAGAATTATTTTTTTATTATATTGTTTATAAGTGGCCAGTTCTAAGAACTTTCAGTTTGACCCTCGCAAAAGGAGATTTGTTATTTGCTCGACATATTTTTTTTTTAAATAATTGTATACTCGCATTTTAAAGAGCATTGGATAGGCTCCAAAACTTGGGTCGATTTATAAAAGTCTTTCATCTACGGATAGCTGCATAATACGCGTCGGACGTAGGCCTACTTTCATAAAATATACATACTCCTTGGACACAGAAAATCCTCCTTTCGGAATGAATGATGAAAACGAAAAATTTGAATGAATTCAAAATACGCAATCTTTTTTTAGCTGAAATAAACACATCATCTAAATATTTAGGTGATATCTGGTGATAAGCGTATTTTGTTTTGTTATAAATGAAAAAGTACTTCTTCGATTTTGATATAATTTAAATGTGACCACCTCGATCTATTCAAGCTGTCGAATAAAAAAATATCGATAAACTTACATAAAAATATACATATCACCGTTGAACATTTAAAAAATAAAATTATTTAAAAAAAATGTTAAAAAAAATAGAACCGACTTCTATTGGCGGAGATCTTCTGTAGGTTATAAATTAAATGGCGATTAAATATATCGCCGTCGAACATATAACCTCCTATTGATTTTAAATTCTGTTAAAAAACTATAAAATATTGAAAGAAACTATTAACTTTATATCAAACTAACGTTTACCCGCGACATCGTCATCGTGGTATAGTTACTTTGGACAGCATATATTTTCCGCTGTTGTTTTACGAGCTGATGATGAAAGATGGAAAAAACAATTCTGAAGTTACACAAAACATAATCGAAAACGTAATCTACGCAAAATTCATTAAATGAACGTTAGCGCAGATTATTTTAGAATAAACGCCATCTAGCATAGTTCAAACTTTAAAAAATACATTTATTATATGACCAATCAAATAAATAAACAATGGTCGTATCGTAATATTTCAATTCTCCATAAAAACTTCCACTCTCGTTTTCATCCCTATAAATGATGGTATTCGGTATAAAATATAACATTATGTTTTCAGCGCCTTAAACTACTCAAATACTCATTTCATCTATCCAAAAACGAAAAATTTCATAGAAACTTTTTACCCCTTTTAACTCTCTTCAAGGTAGAGTTTCCAAAAATTCGCTATTAGTACCCACGCAATAAAACGAATATAGATAAAAAATCACGACGCTTTTTTTAAAACATTCCCAAAAATAGTAATTAATGATGATCCCATATAAATATTATCAATGACTATCTCACCTTAGGGACAGTGCCTTCAAAGCCGCAGTGAGCTCGCTTGAGCATCTGACCTGCGGTGGCGTTGTTCCTGGCGAATTGTAGCATCTGCATGTACAGTGGACACTGCAATACTGTTATACAACTGCCCACCTCATTGTCCACTGTTTGGCATGATTCGACTGGAATGACCATAGAAAATAAAGAAACATAGGTACTATACAAAAGTTTTATTCGAAATATAGTACAGAAATTTTCGTTCTAATTACGCCTAACTCTCTAGCTAAAGTTATAAAATGAATACATATATTTTCTGTTTAATTTTCTTTTTTAACATTTGGGTTTATTTCAATTTTAAAAAAAGCTTTGTTTGTTTAAATTCGCCTTTTTTGAGAATTTAACTTGATAATTTAACTTGATAATTTAACTTGGTTAAAGTAAATATAATTCCAAAAACTATAACAACCAAAACCGTTAATTAAACTGGGTATATTGATAGTATTCATTGAAAAAACAATTAGTCCTCGCCATGTTGGCATCAGCTTTGGCGGATGTCGACGGTAGCCACGGAAACTCGGCTAGCTTCGCTGTCATGAAATCTAATGCCATATCATAATAATTGATACTACAGCATATATATTAAAAACTTATTTAATAAGAACAAAACAGACAGAATTCGAAATGATCAGAATAATTGTAAACTCTCGATATATCCTATTTATTTAACCCTGCACTTATTTACCAAATTTAAATAACAAGATAAGTAAACAACTCTACAGTAATCAATCAGTATCTCTTTGCATTTCTTTATAAACATTTTTTTCCAGACGAATAATTAATCAACCGACCTATTTAACATCTTAATCTTTATGATGATACCCAAAAAGTATTTTTTTAGCATCAAAAATAGTTTATTTATTTTAGTGATAATAACGCAGATACCACTTATGATTTTATTTTACTACAATTAATATTTTACACATAAACACTGTATTTTTTTGTGAGGAATTCGCCGGGATGCAATATCTTCCATATGTCACATACGGGATGCAATGTCTGTGTCTTGAGTTTGATTCTCGGTCGATTCAATGTAGAAAATAAACTTTTCTACATTGTGTGGGTTACCTTTGCTTTTTCAGATTTCTATTACAAGCAGTTTATACTTCATTTAGAGTATAAGCAATGTATTTGATGTTATCTTTTTGTGCTGAATATGCTGTGAAGTGATTTTTTATAAAAAAACTAATGTACATTTGCCATATTTTCGTGCACGACACGATACGTATCGAAAGAAAGACGAAAGTGATGTATCGGCAGAATATTGAGTCTACAGCTCAATTTACAGCTAAGCTAATTAAAAATAATAACCTTGGCATTTTAACATCAAGATAATTTGATTTCAGTTGGGATCACAGCGTCACCGACGGTTTATTTTTTGAACCAGTTCGACGTAAGTACATGTGGAACTTTACATAAAAGGTTAAGTACCTTATTTTACAGTTTTCTTCGTTAACCGGTTTAAATATGACTCCAGACAATGATCTCACAAACTTCAGCGCGGTTTTTAAGTGCCTATACTCATATCTATAACATCCGTACACAGGTATGATAAATGTCGTCGCTTAAAAATGATATAATTCGCATTAAAAGCGTAAAAACATTGCTTTTCACGAACCAAGCTAATTAACCGGTTTTTATTCTAACCGGAATGGAATATTACAAGAGAACAGGTTTTACCTAAATTAAAACGGTTTATTCTGAACCGGTTTCAAGCCCTGCTTGATAGTCATAACTATGAATGAAAACTAAACAATGTACATTTGTTTTATTACGTAAAGTGAACTTAAACATACTATTGGTGTGATGTTCTTATTTATAATGTTAAACATATATTTACTTCTTTCAGTGAATGTATTTGAAAATATATAGGTAGGTATTTATAGTTGCTATTTAGTTACGGTATTTGTGATATAACGGTTTTTTAATCTACTCAACGGCCAAATAGCGATACAATAAACGTATTAAATAAATTAATATAGAAGAAAAATTCACATTGTGTATATTTTTTGTAATTTACATATTAATTTACACTTTTATATTGGAAAAAAATCAATCGCGGTTTAATAAGTAAAGCCTAAGATGGTGTCTTAGATAGTACTACATGATTTGCATTTTTGTAGAATTTTTTAACATGGACATACCTAGTTCACTGTAGATGTAGATTATAAGATGCGTCTCAAGATTATATAGGTCTAGAAATCTAATTCACTGTACAATAAGTTAATAACACAAGGATACAAAAAACTTACCATCATTTTCTATTTTTTGACCTTTCATAAAATTAACACATAAACACAAAGTTACTAGTAATATAATAATTTTGTCGTACACAGCCATTTTGTGGTGAAACTATCGGATATCAGTTTACAACGGCCGGTGGTCAAATGCGACTGGTCTTAGTCCAGACAATGATAATAGCATTTATAAATTAAACGTCACATTATTGATACGGGTTGTTCCCTATTAGAATACGAAAACAAATGTAAGCAGTGAGTAATTGGTATTCGGTTATCTGTGACCAATACGACGAATTTAGTTTTACAAATAAGACGTGACGTAAATTTATAGGATATAATATCGCGTTTGTTACGAATTCGATAATTCCATCCTGAATATCGATTACGAAATTTTAACCTATTCATTTTTAGGAATTCCGGATGCGAAAACAGTTTTCCGCTGTGAAAGAAGAGAAAATTCTATTTGACTATGAATTGTTTAGGCTTTGGATGAATAGTTGTAATGTTTCAACCATAAGCAACGACATCAGTAGCGTTTCGTAAACACCAATGGGTACTAAAAGTCAACTGCTTCGTAGGCCATCCTCTCGTCAATAGGAAGGGGTACCGAGTATTCGCTTATAATCTGTTGAGGATCAACCTTGAAAACAATAGAAAATTATATTTGTTCTGATTACGATTCTTGTGATTTTCCAAGATATCAATTCCCTGTCAGATCAATGTGTAAAATTATAATTTTTTTATCGTCTAGTGTAGTAGCTTCCTTTGTTATTTCATATTTCCATCTATCTATTTATATATTCACGCCACATCCCTGTGTGGGCGGATCAAACGCCACAATGTTCGGTCCTTACATACATATTTCACCTCATCTACTTTTATTACTCTTTTCATATATATTGGTTTATGTATACGGTTTTTATGGCTATATATTTCATCTTCAGTAGTTACTCAGTTTCGAATGCGAGCAATACATGTGATATTGTCTAATATTTATTTATGTACGTACTTATTGAGATGTTAGTGCTCTGTATATAGGTATTTAGCTACGTTAATGTACCAATTACCTAAGATGCAATTATGTTTGTGTAATTATTGCGGTTTCGCGTTATTATTATCAATTGAATATTTGTTTTCCTCGTCATTCAATGTCAAGTATTAGTAGAAATATTGGAAGTATTGTGTAATTATCTTTGATATATGCAACAACTTTAGGAAAACTCCTTTTTACATAAACATAAAAAGTTTATATGGAGAAGTACAGAACGCTTCTTCTTCTCTATGAGTCGTGTCTAACGATATCTATGAAATTACAAAAGTATGGTTAATTTAGTGCAATAAATATTAAACTTACCTTTAATTTTTTGTGATTTAAATTTGCGTCTTCGAACTCTATTCTTCTTGACCACCACCTTGTATTTATTATGAACGTGATATACCTGATTAGGGGCGTAGCCTTTCTGTCCATTTACAGCACTTACATTATATAATTTCTTAACATTATAATAGTGAGGACTCGGATATCCATGATTAGTATCACTCTGAGGATATCCGTGATACGAAGTCCCATAATTCGGATATTTTGATCCATAAGTGCCGCATCCGTAACTATTATGTGCTGAGTCGTAACCGTGATATACCGGTTTGTGTTCAGGATGTCCGTGATCAAATAGCGTATGATACAAAGCGTCTAAGGCTTCATAATATTCTGGTGAGTGCGTAGGGCTCGGCGGTTTGTATATCAAAGGCGTATCAAGGCATTTTTTTTGGTTTTGAGAGAGTATTAACAAAACAGGAAAAGTTTGTATGAGACTACATATTGTACTTCCTTTTACAGTCATATTGAGCGTATCGATGTACATTAAATCAGACACTAAACCAACATGGAAAAATGAATAAGTTTATCTTTAAAATCTGATGTTCCGGTCAGCGCATATTTAAATTTAAAAGCATATTTAATAGATATTGTGTCATATCAACTTCCTATTACAACATTTTCCACTAAGTATCTACTTTTTTGTGCAAAGTCAATATAATTTGGTTTAATTCTAGTGATTTTGTAAAGTAATACTAACGCCGCATGCCCTAATTGTAACTGAAAATGAGATGCTTTATTTTGATACTGTTACTATATCTAAATATAAATTAAATGTTGATCAAATACCATTGAGTAGCTCGGTGGCGTAGTGGATAAGCGGCGCAGCCCGCGATCGTATTCGTTAAGTAACTTTCGCAAGGGTCAGTCAAGGGATGGGTGACCAAAAAATTATTATCTCGAGCTACTCCGTGCTTCGGAAGGCACGTTAAGCCGTTGGTCCCGGTTGCATATGCAGTCGTTAATACCCTCCAATCCGTATTGGGCTAGCGTGGAGAGTCATGGCCCATCCTCCTTAACCATCCATAAGGAAGGCCTGAGCCCCTGTAGTTGGGACGTAAAAGGGCTGGTGATGATGATGATGAAAATACCATTTGTGAAGTACTTTCCAAAGACGAGACAACTATTAATAACTAGTTAATAAGGCTAACTAGGTACCGCAAGCTTTATATCTAATCATATAATAGGTACACTAGGAAGTTACAAGTTTGCATTGAGACCAAAAATCTGAATCTTTTGATTTTGTTTATTTATTTTACAGATATTTGTCTGAGGAGGGTTTCGAATGGCAAGGTGAATATTATCAGGACTCTTTGGACCTTTCAGTCATTAGGGACCATTTGACAAAGAATTATCGCACGTTGAGAATGACAATGTCACTAACCAAAAACGACATATTTTTTACGTTTGACAACATTTTTCTTTGTTAAGTATAAACTTTAAAATGCAAAGATCCCTGTAAACGTAGCTTGTATAGAAACTGCTAGGTGGCATAGTAACGATACGTTGTTTAGAGGGGCTGCTTACAATTTCTTGAACTTTAAACGCTCATTACTCAAAATCGCATTTTTTGCATTGTGTCACTATCGTTCTCAACGTGCGTTATGTTTGTTTATATTAGTGATATTGATTTTGTATTGTTGTATACAAAGAACAAAATTGGAGGTATTTTAAAAAGCACACTTTATTTAAAATGCGTAATTGCAGCTATTGTGGCATATAAATAGACTATCGCATTGGACTAAGTTGATATTATACATAATTCATGGAGTTGCAACACAGTCAGCGTCCATGATCATATCCATTGCGGATACCAATATATTTTCTATGTGACTGTAACCCTGACGATGTCGACTGATTTAGTACCATTTTTTAAATGAACTGCACTGACTCACCAACAAATAAATAAAAATTGTATTTTCATTAAGTGATTCATATAGGTAATTCCAAAGCCTATAAAACATTGAAAATTTTAACACGCTTTTAATAAGTCGACCTGTATGTTTGTAAGAAACTAACGATGTAATGGGATCGAAGGTAACTAATTTAACCTTCTTCCAGTGATGTAGTTCTGATGACAATACAATAATATGGTACTTTTTTTTGACCACGATTAGACCACGATTTTGACCACGATTAGATTTCAGGGTTTGATGATGAAGCTGGTTATACGTACTGGCATTTCATAATGGAAAATTTAATAGCAGTCGTATGTGGACTTGTTAGAAAGGTCTTGTAGTGAACTTTGACCATGTGTAAGTTTTAATGTCAATACAGACGCACTGCCGCAGATGGAGAGGATGCGAGCTCATTCACCTACTTAAAATTAATGTATAAACTCTCAGAAACCTCGTAAGGATATTGTATGCAGACATAAACGAGGTTGCCGAACAAGTTTCGCTAAACGTTCTTACATCTTCCTTGGAAACTTTGTTTATAATAAGAAAAGCAGATATATTACCATTGCCCATTTGAATAAATACGAGTGCAAGAGAGAAGACAATTTCTTCTTACTCTTGACTACGATAAGAAAGAGCAGCTACTTACTATAGTTTCATAATAGAATACATCAAACACAATCTCATACTCATACACTCAATCATACAATCTTTATTTATTTATACAAACAACATTTCACACACGCACACACGCACACATACACACACACACATTAATAGTTATAAAAATGCAGATATAAATAGTTTCTAAATAGTGTAAACAAAACTAAAGAGTTGTAACTCTGTAAGTAATGATATTATCTTTATTAGGTCCAATGGTGAAGTTGAAGTCTTGCCAGATGACAGGGTGATAACCACCTTAGTTTGGCAGCAGATGCGTTGTACAAGTAAAACTTATTTTATTTATTTGTGTATAATTTTAATAATGTTAATGTTATTAAGTTTATACTACTTGTATATTTAAGAAACTGTTGCTAAATAGAAATTATTATTAAAAAAATATTATTATAGTTTAAAAAACACTGCACTTACAAAAGCGTGTTTTTCTAGTATTTTTTAAACTATAAATTTTTACTTTCCTGCTTCTATATTTTACATGAAGCATGAAGCAAAAAGGAGGGTTATGATTTTCACCGGTATAACTTTTAACTACTCATCGTAACTGGACAAATATTACGATGAGTAGTTTCAAAGTTAGAAGCGTTTTAGTTGTCCGCCTACTAGGCTATGTGACTTTACTTTAAATTGGCAACAGCGCCCTCTATAGATCATAAAGTAAGAAACTAAAAAAAAAATCATTTAATCATTCCGTGTAGGCCATCAAGAAATTTGTCTTATAGTGATAGCTATATTATAATAGTAATGACCAAAAGACAGCGTAGTCGTATGCCACATCAGTTTGTTTTCTTATCACTGATCATAACATCGCATTATAATAATATCGCATCTCGATAGATTCTGAACTATTTGAATTTTGTCATTGTACTATCTACATGGAATTTTAATATTATTAGTGTAACGTTATCCTCACAAATCAATAGTGACAGATTTATTTATTATTGTGTGATCTCATAACAAGAACTGTGTCATAAAGACTTGTATTGAAGCACTATTGACTTTCCAAAATTAATGTTACATTTCGTAAAGTACACTGCATTGAAGATTGTACCTAATTGAATCATATTTTTGATAATAATGTATGACACATTAAAACATACATTTAAGCTTCAATCCTGGGTGATCGTTATTAAGAGTGTGATTTACGATTAATCATGATTACATTTTGTCTATCTCGGCCTACAAGTCAGTCAGTCAATCAGTCGTGGTTGAATTACTCTTTTATGACATTTACTAAAGTAGTAGTTAGAAATAAAAAATAAGTTTTTAAATTTTAACTTTGCATAAATAAATTATCTAATACAATTCATTTTACACACAAAAGTTTAGCTTTGCTTTACTAGATGCCGTTTAATAAATAAATATATAATTAGGTATATTAATATTATTCAAATAAAACATGTTTATGCTCGTATAAACAATTTATATATGTAAATTTTTACTTAATAGATACAACTTAACTGCATACATAATACCTTACGATATGTTAATGATACACAAACATAAGTTAATATTTACAATTTACTTATTTTATGGGAGGTTATTATTTACGACTTAGTAAAGACTACATTATAAGAAATAACGTTATAAACATATTTTAAATAAATATTAAACAAAAATTACATGTGTAATTTTTTTATCTCAATATGTGTGAAGTTACTGGAATTATATTTGTTCAACGCCGCGTGTTAGCTATATCGAAACTATCACCACGCTATCGCTACCTATTATCAATTTTAGGTAAAACAATGTTTTGATGGGAATCGATAAATTAATAGTGCACATTGACATGCGAAGGGTTATAGATTTTCTGAAAAAAAAAACTGACAGCTATATGACTAATATACTATTTGAATAGATTGCACAAAAGAAAAAGAACGTATCTTCACAGTCAATAAATGCTGTTATTTATTGTGGAGAGAAGAAGAAGAAACATTTATTGATCTCACAACAACAAACAAGAGAGTACATTAATTAGAACATCAAGAGAAATAGATATAATATATGTAGTAAAATTATGCCATATAAAAAAGTAAAGAGATAATCCTGGACTCTACTTCATTTCAGTTAAAAAAAAAAACTGAAATGAATACATTGCAGGACTTATTATATTAACGTCATCTCGTGCCTTGTCGAAATGCGCGGGGTTAATGTCAACCATATACTATAATAATATATAAAACCGATCCGCGCGGCGGCGTAAATATAATCCCGGCTTAACTCAGTTAATTGATCAGTAATTCGAATCGGCGGCGTTTCGTTAAATGGGTTTCTACTCTACCATTTGAGCTACCAGAGACCTTAACAAGAACACATCGTAGAGATATTTATGAGATATAATATGGTTTTATATAGGGTAAAGCTGTAGTGGTATCGTAAGTGACATTAAACAATTTACCATTCTAAGATTCAATATAATGCAAGTATATACCTACATTGTCGATATTTCATTACATTTGAAAATTTACCAAAGCTAGAGGCTCTAAAAGACATGTTTATAAAGTTGTCTGAAGATGTTATACTACATAAAAAAAATAATAAAAAAAAAACAAAAAAGCCCAATTTTAGTAACATGATTAAAAAAATAATAATTTTATAATGCTGATTATAAGTATTTATAAAGTTATTAAAAATTCGTCAGTCTCGTTAGATCTCGGTAACTCAACGGTTAGAGCACTCGTCTGAATTGCGAAAGGGTAAGGGTTTGGATACTATCTCGGACACCTGAAACTGCCGAACTTTTAAATTATTTTCTTTAAGACGAGATGAGATGAATAAAATTTTAGAAGCGGGGATGCTGAGCTTCTTCATACATTAGTCTAAAGCTCATAACAGACGGTGAAGATCGTGAAGATGTTATAATTTTTCGTCTTAACCGATTTCACAAACGCTTAGGATACGATAATATTTTGAATATTATATTCTAAGATACTATCTTAACCTAAGAAATATATTTCCGTGTCGCTTAGCTCTCTGTGTTGGGCTACTGGAATATGTATTTTAAGTTATAATATTAAAGCATCTTCCTCTACCGTCTGTTACGAGCTTTATAATTCATTGATTATTATTAATTTTTGATCTATATAGATAGATATTGTACACACATTAGTAAGAAGGTTCAATAATATCTAACATGTCCTAGAAAGAAAAATTTTGAGTATCGCCATTTTTGGAGTTGATTTTATTTTTAGAAATTTTTCTGAAATGACTAATAGTGACATCAGATGTGATTTATTCATTACAACTACTACACAATAAGTAGATACAATATATTTGTCACTTCTTATTCCGAGAAATCGTCTTTCCATTGACATGCAACTAACGAACGAACGGACATAAGGTGACATGATTACATATGATTACTTATTTCAGGCAATCCAATAAATCAACCTCTCCAACTCTTAAACTTAAACCTTAAAGTATTATATACTATGATATGTGATATATTTACAACATTAAATTAGCTTTATATAAATCTTTTTGGTGGAATGTCTCGATTTGTACACTTTGTGTCCAATTTTTTTTGCATAATCCCATTATTGACATTAATTTTACTAGTGCAATAGTTTACATTTATTTGACACCAACTTATTTCTAAAATAGCATCACCAGAAACTATTAGAGACTTTGTTTTCATGGAGAAATTGATAATGGTGTCAATTCTGATGTACCAATATTGAAGAGAGGGGACCCTCTACCGAACGTTTCGCGATGCAATTCGAATGGAGAGTAACTGTCTTCCAATGTATGAAGCCCGAAATCCTGTACTTCCCAGCACTGTCTTGAAGAGAGGTGTCATTTTATATGTTATTCTTTAATAACATATTATCTATGAAATATAATTAATAGATATAATATAATAAGTTTACGTCTAGTACCTTATAATAACACAATTTAAAACGCAGCTTGACAGGATTAAATCAATAAAAATCTATTTTATACCAAATATAACAGTAGTAAACTTATACAATAAATATAATTAATAATGTCATCAATTTTGTCCCCAAAAAAATATGTTTTTTAGTTTACACGCATGATATTTTAATTTATTTTCAATACTGGTAAGTGCTGAATTGACACCCTTATCACATAAATTAATAAAATTCCTGTAACACTAGAAGCATTTGTGAAAGACAAATCATAAAAAACTTGCTTATAAATAGGCTTTTACAGTGGGCAAATAGATATTTAATATTTACATATTTGACTTTCATTATTAAAGTAAAACAAGTTGAATTTAGAAATTTAGATTTTTCATGTTCCCAATGATCGATATGAGTTATAGATTTGTTTTTAAATGCGTCTTTAATAACAGATGTAATATATGCTTATCACAGATTAAAGTAAACATCAAACGTCAAGCATATTTGTGCAGCTTCATTATAGTTGACCAGGATGCGTCAGTTGGAATGGTTACGGGCGGGATGGGGTTGCAACGCGGGGTTAGCAACAGCTATGATGCTGTCACCACGAGCGGCTACCACCTGCGGCCGAGACTCTTCTACCTCCTGAAAATCATTAGTTATTCAGTTAATACATTGAAAATATGTAACATTTCCAAGATATCATGTATAAAGATTAGAAAATACATTTATTTAACGCCACGTATAAAACACTGCAGTGCTGTGTGTTTTCATAATTGGCTTCAGCTTAGTTTAAGTAATGGGTTTTGTCCATTGTACTGGTAAACTGTGCAGAGGGCAAAACGAAAGAATTCTGAAACCAGAAATGATAACAAGAAAAAAGTAACAGAATAATTGATGAACTACATGATTGTACAAAACCTAAAATATAGCTCTACCATTGCTTTATTAATGTAAAATAAGAATCACTAATGAATATTGGAGTAAATCTTGCAACTGACATCCTTAACAAGGATTCTTTATTAAAGAGCAAACTAAACCAGAAGCGCATTACCTGGAAACATAACTTTTACAGAATCTTTACATAGGCATGAAGATACAAAGTTACAAGGCGCAGACAATTCTTCATAATAAAAACATAAACTCACAGGCGGAGGAGTGCTGGTACTAGAATAGGAACATCTAGAGTCTGCATCATCACTCTCAGCTTTCACGCCCCACCAACTGCAAAAGAACGAAATTAGAAACGATTACTATACAATGACTACTTTATATTAGAAAATGACAACTAATTCCAATAAGAGAGAGTATTTTTCTAACAAACCATTTTAGTTATAAAAATTGCTGCTGAGTGCTAATGTAGTACCAACATTCACATGTGCTAAACAAAGCCCCTATTATATGCCATAGTTAAACAAAATAATAAATATCATATAGGTTAATTAATAATATTTGAATTAAAGAACTTTCAAAATAGCATTATGTTTAATTTTCAAATAGCAAATAGTGAAAAGCAGATACCCGTAGTTGGATAGTACCTGTGGTTGGAGTTACTCCTCGCTGCATCGGGACTGACTCTGATGCCACTCTCCTCACCTTCCTAACACATAGATACTATTAATGAGATGGCACACATAACATGACATGAAAATGTAAGAGCTTTGCAATTATTTAGAGACCAAATTATATTATTTAGATTGATTACAAAGGTCATAATTGTAATGGTATTTATTTGTTAAATACATACATAGTAAATGATCGAATAAATAAAGCAAAGTAAATCTAACGCATACGCCATTAATGAAAATACCCGTAATTTGTAATAATAATCATGCAAAAATAATCGACTACTACTTACCAAATTTGCAACGTGCGCATCCTGTTAGTCAAAAGCAAATTATAATAACTAAAATATACAAGAGAATTAAAAAATTTACAAGGCTTTCGACATGGTACTTCATGCTTACCTCTCGATATATTTACTATATACTACCTTTTGTGAGATCATGCAGCCTATTATATTTTTATTTATTTATCAATAATTTCCTGTTATTAGATAGCAAAATTATAATAATAATTAAGTTTTTGTTTTTTTCGAAATTATTTCCTCGAGGAACTTAATTGAGACTCTTACCTTTTGTGCATAAAAATGATAATAATACCGATTAAAAAAAAAATCATTAGAACGTTCCGTAACGTTGTATTATTGATTCTTATTACGATAATGTATCTTATAAGATTTATCTAACCATAAAAAAGAAACAATCACTCGTCGATGTTAGCGCCCAGCGCATACGTCTAAGAGTAGAAATGAAAAGGTAAGAATATAAGCAAGCTCTGAGCAGCAAATTACTATAAACTCCAAAGTCGCATGCGACTTATAATATTCTCAGATATCCACAATAATGATCATAACAATTTTCATTTAATTTCAGTTTACTAGAAAAAAAATATTATTTCTTATAGTTTTTGAGATCTTCTCATATGTTTTTGTTTTATTATTGTGATTTATTCTATAGTTTATACCCAAATCCCAAGCATGAGTTATGAGCTTTATAAGCCATAAATCTGCAAATAGGGTGATAGTGAGGAGCAGAGTGACAGCATAAACAGAACTAGCTGTCGCTCCACTTCCCGTAATGAGTTTGCAGCTTTAATGCTCGCGTGACATAGCGCTACCGCTTCCGTTATATTTACGAAGAGATAGTATCCACACGTGACCGGTTAGTGTAGGTTAGGTTATTTGTCCCCGTATTACGCTACGTCAGTGAGGTCTACGTGTGTGACCTGTCGAGGACGCTTCGCCGGCGTCTCCTCCTCGTCACGGTCCCGTTCCTCACCCATCGACGCTGCACTGGGGGGCAGACTGCAAATAAAAATTATACATAAATAACATATGACGATTACCAACATCAGCTGAAACAGATATAACGAAAGCGATAGCGGATTGTGTCTATGCAACTATAATCTTAAAACAATATTCAATAGCCTAAGGATTTAAAACAATAAAAATACCAACAAAACTGTGTCTTGGCTTGGACATTTAAATGCTACTCCTTTGATACATGGCATCGAAGAAATCTTTTATATGTATTTAAAATAACATCATATTTAACCAAAAGTACCTAAATTAACAACTGTATTTGTTATACACAGAGTATGTCTGGTGTCAATCTAGTTTTATATTAATGCTATGTGTAAGTTACCCGTGTTTGGAGTAGTGCAAGCCAGCGCGGCGGACCAGCTGCCTCGCCAGTGGGAACAGCTCGTCGCGGCGCGTCAACAGTGCTGGCACGCAACGGCACATCTGCGCTGCCGCTTCATTTACCATCACCTATCAGTACAGTCACTAATCAATTTACATGATATTGTATGATAAACATTATGAACTGCAACACTAATTAGTTTTTACTGCTTATTCCTATTTGTATATTTTCTCGATCAAAATTTTTAATATATTCAGTAATAATAAATAAGTACCATTTTTCAAATTAATGCAATTGACACTTGAACCAATATTCTCCAAAATAATTACAAATGACATAAATATAATTTTTATGCATTTACAGGACGTCAAACGTACAAAAATATCAAATAAATAAATACATTAATTTGATTTCTTAACCAATTAAATAGAAAGTGATTTTTTATGTTTAATGTTTAGAATATTATTCTTATTTAGAATATTAATGAATAACTTATTTCGACTAGTTGATTAACAGTGTGATTTAAAGCTTAGACAAATTGAGATGAGACTCTTTGTAATTATAAATATCAATTTAATAATGAATCAAAAATTATATCAATCAGATGAATTAGTAAATGTACTTTTTTATAAGCTAATTATATTTTTAGTTATTACCTCATGTAACGTTAGCGGTTTCTCCGGTTTCCGCTTACAGTCAAAACGACCGTATATCGCTGCGTATTTTCTGATCTCTTCCATCCGTTTCGGATCGGATTCCGGCATCAACATTACCAACTCCAAATCCTTGCACATCTTCTTTTTCGTATTCTGCGGTTTTGGTTCCAACTGTGGCAAGTGTTTGCTCAGTTTCTCTGCCGCAGCTGCTAACTTTTGCACATGAACATCTAACAAAACCGGTGTCAACTGTACTGGCGACGTCACTGAACTAGGACTTGACCCAGATGATGCTGGAGGACATGCGCTTTGAGGAGAAAATGATCTTGCAGCGGTCGAAGTGACTGGAGTCGCTGGTGCAGGTGATGAAGGTAATACTATCTTAGTGAATGTATTCGTTTGGTGTACAGGACTCGCATTGGGAGCTGATGCCGTTGATCCACAGCTGTTTTCTGGAGCCCCAGGGGAAGGACTATACATTGGCCTATTACTTTCTGGAGATGCGACGCTTCTCGGTAACACGTTAGGAAGAGGAGGGGGGATGTTCAGTAATCTTTGGTTACATTGTATGAAAGGGTTCTCTGATGGACATATGTTTGGGACTATAGGAATCTGAAAGAGAGCAGGGTTGTTCACCCACTCTTGGAGGGCTTTTTGAAGGCGACGAACGTGAAGAGGTTTGGAAGCCATCCCCACCAATGCCATTATCTCCAAGAATTCCTCTTCACCTGCATCACATAACTGTTGGACGTCATCCCCGCCTGTAATAAATATATATGTGATGGTATTTATTAAATATTTTGTCTAAATGATGTTTTTTTAATAACAAGCTTTTATTTGTGCGCACTAAGATGCACTCAAGTCAATTGCTGTTAGAGAAAATTTAGATTATTAGTACTTTAAATATTTAGAATTTATTAACGTTTAAGTGCGAACAAATAAAAGTTTGTTTTTTTTTAATATATTATATTTTTATTTTTTACTTTGTTACAATATGTTGTTATTCTCATAAAGACGGATCTAAAGAGCCCAAACAATGGAGTTGCGTTATTTCATTGCTAAGTTCCTATGACAGCTTTCCAGCTCCATCATCACCAGAACTGGTATGGAAAGTATCCAGTACCAAAGTCCTTATAAACGAGCCTAAATACGATACAGTTACGTCATCTCATCACTAAATTCCTATGACCACCTTCAGACTTCAGCATCATATCAGGTTACTGACACCATAATATTGCATTATCGTCTGACTTACATGTCCATAACAAATTTCAAATCTATTAAACAATAGGAATTGGGTCAAATTTAAGTTCCAAGATTTGCGCACTAACAAACATACTAACAAGGCTAATTTGTAATGATCAAATAGGCAAACTTCTGCATTTTTTAATCTAAAATATGAAAGGTTGGAATACCCTGCTATTCAGTCAACTAATTTGATTATGAGTCTTGTTGCTACTACTAATGGATCTTGTCGCTTAACAGCTTTGATAATCTTACTGTTGTTATAAATGTCAAAGTTTGTGATGATGTATGTTTACTTTTCACAGAATAATTACAGAACGGATTTTAAATAACGGGTTAATTCTAAATCTGAATGAATATACAGACACTGTAACCGTCCCATAAAAATAAATGTACTGTCAAGTCATTTCACTATTCACATAAATTTCTAATGTAATTACTATTGGTCTATACTAATATAAACAGTAATATTTACAATACCACAAAAGTCGTATCTTTACTGAATCTTGTCCATTATGCTCTATTATAGAAAACTAATTGAGTTGCTTATTTCGGTTTCATTGGAGTATGTCGGTGACAAAGTGGATAAGCACCGCGCCCCCGATAGTAGTCGTTAAGCAACTTTCATAAGGGTCGGTCACGGGATGGGTAACCAAAAAATTATTATCTCAAGCTACGCTGCTTCGGAAGGCATATTAAGCCGTTGGTCCTGGCTGCATTTGCAGTCGTTAATACCCTCCCACCATGTCATGGCCCATCCTCTCACAGTCCTGGAAGGCCTGAAGCCCTGCAGTGCGGAAGTAAAAGGGCTGATGATGATGATGAATTGAATTACTACTTTAAGGTTCCACAATAGTGGTATAGTTAACTTAGAAATCAAATGAACTCAATTGTTCCTAGTGAATGTTTAGACATTATATCTATAACCTCGAAATTAATAAAATAAAAAAGTTGCTATCAATAAAAAAAATATTATTAATCTAGTGGCAATTGTAACGAAACTTTCTCAAGACCAAAAACTTACGTCACATTAATATACAAAACTATCTGGTAAGTCAGGTTCATCGTCTAACACAAAAACGTGTGACGCTACGAAAAAACAGTACCACACACTCAATTTTAATTTAGGCAAATATGCTAATATGCGACGTGACCATTTTGCGAAGGGGCCGAGGAAAAAAAAACAAAAGGTGCACGAGACGGCCAAACCCTTCTAGTCCATAGTAATTGAAGGAATTAAAAAGTGAAACTTGTGAAAAAAGATGATTTGCATGAGGACGTCTGCTGATGCTGCGCTGTTGTTCTTTTTTTACTTTTTTTGCGATCGCTTATGGAAATCAGTTTTTTGGACATCTCCATGCGATGAGAAAGTGTTTTTTCTTGGGTTCCGAATTATTAGAATGAGCGTGATTGGGGTTTGATTATAGTGCTGTGCTTGTCGGTGTTTTTTACTGTTTATAAGATTATAACGAATTTGGGCTCGGTTTTATATGTTACGTTTAAGTAGATACAATTTACAGATTTTATTTAAACATATACTGGAAAGATGTATTTAAAAGTACGTACGTAAAAAGTAACCAAATATGGAATAATACCTATACCTAAAATGGAATACTGAAATTACTTTCAAAATTATTCTGTATAGAATTTCCTGAACTATTTATAAATTTTCTATTAGAAATAATTTAAGAAGGAATTTATATATTCCATATTCGATTACTTTTCTATATGTATTCACTCCGTGGCCAATTGACTCATACACCGGTTGTAAGATGTCGCTATCGTTTGAAGTCCCGGGTTCTATTCCCGATAAGGTCAATATAGAAAAAAGACTTTTCTATATGTATGTGATGCTGTGTAATATTTATTTATTATTATTATTAACGTCATATTGCTACCTACTTATCATTCTAAAAGAAAAATACTTTTAAAATACAACAGTTTTAGGAGCACAAAATGAAGTATTTTTTTTAATTATTATTAGATATTTTTACCCGATCGATATTATTTAAATATGTTTTGAGTCCTTCGACATATTACGTTTTGGATAAAAATAATAAATAATACTCAGGGAATTTATTTCTTGAAAAAAATTGTTTTAAATTATACTAACCCATTTCAAGAAGTGTATCGTAGTAAGCCAGCAGGCTAGCCCTCTGCATCACTCTATACAGCTGAAGTTCGGCTTCATTGGCAGGCGCTGATGTCACAACCACTGAAAAAAATTTACCATAAACTAATTGTACAAAGATCTGAAATATATCGATGCTGATTGAACGAAGCAGTTTATAGCAATTCATAACCTTCATGGAAGAATTGCTTACATGCACACAAGACGCCATCAGTGAGGTCTCAGATTCGATTCCCGGAAAATTATTTTTTCTGCTTAATTAATTTGTCTACGAAAATCGAAAGCTATATCGAAAAAATATCAATATTAATAAAAAGCATGAAATAAAAACTTTATTTAAAAAGTAGAACCGACTTCAAACTTTAAACAAGTGATAAATAATCATTATCTATTATATATTAAGAATATTTTTAGTATAGCATTGTGAAAGAAAAATTGATCAAATTGAATAATTAGAAAAAAAAATCAACTTTATCTAAAATTTAAATATTAGTAAAAATATTTATTTCGGCTGTTTGGGTGGATTGCCTGAATATTGGTGAAAATACGCTCTGTAGTAGCGAAAAACTAACAAGTGCTTGAAAGATTCGTCAGTCCTGTTAGGTAGCAGTGATTGGAGCAGTCATCCGGATTGCGAAAGGTCATGGATTCGGGTCCCATTTCAGAGTGCCATACACAAAGTCGATTTTTAAACATTTTTCTTTAAGATTATTTTTCAATATAGTATTGTAGATGCAAAATTAATCAAATATAATAATTCATAAATATCTTTTAAATGTCAGTCTGATAGGGATTGCAATTGATTTTAAATAAGGTAATTATACCAACGATCGTATTAAAAAAAATTGCTTTATATTTTATTTGTGATAAAGATTAAGGTAGACAGATGGCACATGGCAAATAATATAATTGAACATTTATTTACTGGTTCTGACTTGTAACATCATTTGTATGAACTTCGAATACTTATAAAATTTTTATAACATTCCTAAACTAGTGACAAAACTCAGTAAATCAATGTAATCTTTGTGTTTCTCGAGACTGTGCAGAAATATAGGATTTTATATAAATAGAAATAAAAAATGAATCCGATCTATAAGATATAAATTAAAGCCGCTCGTGGAATAATACATACCATATACTTATATTACATAATAGTGCTTTGAGGTTGAGTCACGCAAGCGGGATAGTAATATCATAGAAAATATCATTAAACAAGCAAATGATTGTTGTACTAACGTATGTAGTTAAAAGATTTTGTCATATTTAAGAAACTATCGTTGGTAAAGTTGATAAAAAGCTTGATTCGGGAGTCATTTAGTCTTTTTTTTTAATTTCCGTTGCCATTATTATCCCAAAACGCCTTATACAAAATAACGTTTATTTTTTTAATATATAATTGCTTTTACATAAGTATACTATATAGACTACCGATACGGCGAACTTCGTTACTTTTTTCAAAATAAATCATTTTCTATGTTGTTGCTGACAATGTAATTTACATTAGTATAAGAATTTTTAAAATTATTATCGTAGTCTTGATGTAATCTTTTACAAAATTGTTACAAAACAACAAATATCACATCTTTCCTCTTTATAATATTACATAGATACACTTCAACCTGTAACATGCCTAAATTTTAATCTATTTTCTATATTTTAAATTTGTAGAACCCGTTATGAGCGAAATTTAATTTCCTAAAACGAAAATTTTGCGTGCTCCTAACAATTTAGTGAATTCAAATTGCGTGAGGAGAGGCGAGCATAAAAAACAACCCTCCTTTTAATAACAACCCCAGCTATTACCAGAAAAGAATCGCCGACCGTTACCGAACTAAAAAATAGACGAATAATGCTTTACATACTTTTTAAAAGGGGTTCGGTCCTTTGTTCACGAACGGGTTAGTTGTAAACGCCAATGCAATATCTTGCGCGGGAAAAATATCGACCCCGCTGCCATGACACACGAAAAAAAATGTTGCCACCCCTCGAGTAAGCTATTAGTTTTTATTGATACAAAAAAATCGAGGGTTGTGACTCCACCCCCAGAGGCAGGTAAAAAATGTTATATAGTACAAAAAAAAAAAGAAATAATATACAATGGTTAACAATAGTCAGTGTAAATAGGTGTTTGCCTTAAATCAGTATCAATAGACAATTACGAGTTTAATTATCAATGTAACTAAAATTAAAATATGCTGTAAAATATATTTTATTTATTTTATTTTATATGTAATAAAGATTAAAGTATTATTAATTAAATAATTAATTACTTAATCTGTAATTATTTACAGTTACATTATTATTTATTTATTTATCCAAGCTTATACCTTATAACCCTATAATATCTGTATTATAGATAATGAGGAAACATCCAATGGACTAGATATTTTTTCATCAATTAATGTTCTTTAATCTTAAACCTTTTCTCGTAAACGATTCAATATAAGATAAAAAAATGAAGTAAACTAAAAACAAGTAATGTATTCTCTCAAGATAAAAATACATCATTCATTATTTTACAATCTCTTTACCTTTGTTAAGAGCATGAGAATTTATTTTTTCTTTACAAACCCTTTCTCAGATTTTCAATAAAAAAAAGTGTTTCCCGACGAACTATGTCCAAAAAACTTATTTGCATAATCTTTTACAACATAAAAAATCGCCAGAGCCGCGAATGCAAATTTTTTTTTTTTACTATAAAGGGTTGCGACCGCTCATACACTGTTGTCTTTTTTATCTTTCTTTTTAAAAAGTGGTCACGTAATTCATTTATCCGAACAGTTCAGTTCCTATACGAACTTATTACAAGTTTTTAATTTTATGCATCTCTCACACACGAATCTCTTTAGTTTTTTATTTACCTTAAAAAATTCGCTTGTGCTTCGCTTGAGAAATGCAGCACTATGTGACTAGGGTACGTATTGTTTTGGTGGGAAAATCATAAAGAGTAGAGGAACTAAAAAAAAATCCAATCTGTTTTTGCTGGAAAATATATTGTTGATCCATACCTTTTAGAAGCACAATTTCTTTCAGAAATGAAATTTTATGTTTATGCATGCATACAAAAAATACATATACGTTAAAATTATAGGAAAGATATTGATTAATTTGTTTGTATCGAATAGGTTCTGAAACTATTGAACCGATTGTAAAAATTCTTTTGGCTACGGGGAATTATGGGGGGGTGAAATAGGCTATAAATTACACGAGCGAAGTCTCAGGAAAACAATTAGTAACTTATAAAAATAATAAAAGTCATTTCATTGATCATTTCCGCCTCTTATAGAGAGTTAAAACATAAAATAAGTCAAGTACAGCTAAACGAGAAAAACTTCAAAAAAAGAGTAAAAGAAAAATCGAATGACACAACTACTACTCGAAAATGCTTATACGATTTCTAATAAATGCTTTTTCGATAAATTTATGATGCAACGAAGGTAGGAGCTGACAATGCCATTGATGCACAAATACACAAAATTTTCAGTAGAAGAATAGATGTCATGTTAATTCGTACTAAATAAACAATCTATAATATAAATTAATACATGAAGCAAAAACTTTGGTTCATCTTCAAAAAAATTACGTGAATGAATAAATGAAATACAAAAATCTTTATTTCTTTTTTAATGTACTAAGTTCGTATTTAAAAATAGAAACGTTGCTTAACATGTTTTTCCAATAGAGCGGCATGCAAAGTTTGAAATCATAATTCTAATGGAAATAAGATAATTCATATAATTACTACATTCACATTATAATCAATTACATCATTATAATAGGGGTTAAAGTATGAAATTACCGATTTGTACTGAAAATCAAAATTGTTTATTTTTTAATTTTTAACAAATTTATTTAATCAAAATAGTTATCATTATTATCTATATATTGCTGCCATCTAATAGGATGGTCATTTATGCCTTTGCGATAGAACTCTGAGGCTCGATCTTCAGAGTTTTGCATCTCAAAGACTGCACAAACTGTGTGAAAGCATTTTGTACATTCTCCTGGGAAGACAACTTCTTGTCTTGATTCAACAAGGCAATACAAGTTTCAACACGCGTTTTTTCTGCAGATCAGTCAAATCATGAGGCACCCATTTTTCGTATTTTTTTATTTTATTGATTTGACGCAAATGAGTCAATATTGTGGGTAAGGTAACGTTAAACCATGCCGCTAATTCCTAGGTAGTTTGACTAGGATCGGCTACAACCATCTCTCTTAATTCATCGTTATTCACCTATGTGAGCGGTCTTCCTCGTAGCTCGCTCTTCAAGTCATAGTTACCATCACGAAAGCGTTTAAACCAAAATCGCACGTTGTGTTCATTAGCAGATCCCTCCCCAAACATTGATATTGCAGGCTGTTTCTACCGCGTTACTTCCGCGTCGGAACTCGTATTCCAAAATCACTCCCAGTTCAAAACCTAGTAACTGTTTTGGACTAAATTTTACAGGAGAGCAAAAAAACACTTTTTAGGGTAGCTCTTTTAAACTATTTAACACCTGTTGAGAAATTATTATTTACAAGAAGGAGTAATTTGAAACTGTTAATTTAATATATAAATTATTTGTCTAAGTTTCATTCTACAAATTTTATGAGCTAAAATATTTTTAACAATAAAACGTCTAAGTAAAAATTGACTTCCAAAACCATTTCAAACCTAGTAAGTTCTCTTACTAGATTTTGATCTGGTTTAACATATTGGCTAAAAATCAGCTTATCCAGATCAAAAGCTAGTAAATTCAAATTTATGCAGCCATTTACACATGTATTTATGTTTCATTAGGCGGCATTCATTTGTTTATTTTCTTCTATTTGTCCTATTTACGTCACCCAGTATTAAAAATTTAAATATCGTGTTATTTACGAGTACGAGTTCCACCATGGTACCAGTGCTGCGGAAACGGCTCGAAGGGTTAATGATATGTATGGCGATTGTATCGCAAAAGAAAACACAGTACGTTTTTGGTTCCAACGTTTTACAATGAAGAATTGAAGGGTCTTGTGAAAGCGGATCCATCGAAAACCACGTCTGAGTTAGCTGCAAGCTGCGGTGTTAGTGATAAAACTGTTTTAATCCACTTGAAGCAAATTGGAAAGACTAAAAAGCTTGAAAGGTGGGTACCTCACGAATTGAGAGAAGCAAACCGGTAAACGCGCTTCGACTGCTGCATACATTATTTAACTGGCACAATAATGAAGGGTTTTTAAATCGAATCATTACCTGTGATGAAAAGTGGAATCTCTACGATAATCGGAAGCGCTCATCACAATGGTTGGACCCTGGCATGCCAGCCAAATCCTGCCCCAAGCGAAAATTGACCCCAAAAAAGTTACTTGTAAGCGTTTGGTGGACTAGTGCCGGTGTCGTTCATTACAGTTTTCTCAAATCTGGCCAGACGATTACGGCAGACGTCTATTGTCAGCAAGTGCAAACCATGCTGGAAAAACTAGCTGTTAAACAACCGAGGCTGGTCAATCGCTCTACGCCACTGCTACTTCACGACAACGCTAGACCACACGTTGCACAACAGACGGCTACCAAATTAGAAGAGCTTCAATTGGAATGTCTAAGACATCCACCGTACTCCCCGGACCTTGCTCCAAAGATCATCATTTTTTTCGAAATTTGGATAACTTCTTGCAAGGAAAAAAATCAACTCCGATGGGGCAGTGCAAATCGCCTTCAAAGATTTTATTGATTCCCGTCCGAATGGTTTTTTCAGTAAGGGGATCAATGACCTACCTATGAGATGACAAAAGTGCATAGATAACAATGGTTTATACTTTGATTAAATAAATATAGTATATTAAAAAATATTCGACTTTTTGTTGATGCCATACCAAACACCAATTTCATATGTAAGGACCTAATATATTGTAATGGGGGCAAAACATTATATTTAAAGTTATTAAACGGCAACTTGTGATTTCATCTACGTGGACTCTTCGACACTGACTGAGCTTTCGACTACCGACTATAAGTTGTTAACAAATAAAATAAATTCTACACATAATTTTAATTAAGAGATTGTTAATGTTAATTGAGAGTATTGAATAAATAAAATAAATTCAACACATAATGTTAATTAAGAGATTGCTCATAATAACTCGGTTCTATATTTCTCTCAGTGTAATTAATATATGCATATTTGTCCTGTTTTATTGAATAAATAAAATAAATTTAAGTCTTCTTTAGAATTAATATTTAATTTCCGCTAATATAGCTCCCAATAATTATTGTACTTTGAAGTTATACTG